TATTCAGAAGGCTTTGAGAGCATTAAGCGACTCACCGTCTCTTACCAAAGCTTTCGCATACACTTGAAGAAGGTATAAGTCACACTTAACTCTCGCCTTTGGAATTGTTGCCGTTGATTCGGGTACTCATTTTATAACTACATTTTGGTTGCGACTGAATCTAGCGCTCGTTGTTGTCGCACATATTTTGAGTGAATGAGCGTTCTTTTCCAGTTTACTTATTTCCCAGGCTCCGGATGAACTGGCTATTGGGCTAGCGAAACCGAGATCCGTGTACGATTCATTTATCTTCGTGTTAATAACCCTTCCTTCTGTGTTTCCGCGTAGTTCGTCGAAAAAACTTACTTCGGTTTCTTTCGAAGCCTACTCTTGAATATTCGGTCCACAAGGTGTTCCGATATCTTTATTGTTCAACATAGTTCGGAGCCTCCAGCGGTCCTTCGTAGACCTCCTGGTTGTCCTCCTCAGCTGGTCTGCGTGTACGTAAGCGACCTTCGTTTTTTGGACCGTACAGTGGTGCGTGTGGTTTTCCTGGGACGGTGCTTTTTTCTCTGAGTTCGCATTGGCTGGTCTTTTTCACGCCTAAGAGACTAGCATTCAACTGTGTCTAATTCCCTGGAGGAACCATCGTCAGTTTCAGCGTTTGATATGGCTAAAGGAGCCGTGGTTGCATATGCTTTTTTCGGATTCTGGATTGTGGAATTCGCCGGCATCTTCTCTTCACGTAAGTGGTGAGTAACCTTCTTTAACTTTTCTACCTCCATTTTTAGAAATTTTAACTCTCCCTCCAATTTTGAAAATTTACGGATGAGTCCGAAACATGCTGTACAGATTTCCTCGCCGTATGTGACATCCCCAACGTCACTAGAATTTTTGCTCTTTTTACGGGCATTGCTCTGACAGCAGAACGTGCAATACTGCAGTCATTAATATCATGCTCGGGTTCGACTCCTGCCTGGGCAAGCATTCTACATCGTGCCTTGAGGGCATTTCTCTGAATAACATTACTGAGTTTACAAGTTTCAAATGGTTTTCTTAAAGTTATGAAACGAATTTTCAACTGAATCAAAGATATGAGGATAACGACTCAGCCTTTCGTAGGTTTTGGAATTTACAGTGCTGTTGTGGAGAGGCGACTGGACGAAAACAGGTTATCTCGCACAGGTCCTGGTGTAAGTTTCCAAGGATGGATCGGTCGCAAAGACGAATCGGATCCTTAATATCCACGAGCCTTGAGGACGTCCAGTAGATAGAAATCCCGATAAAAATGAAATCCCCCGAGGCCGAAAATGTCAAACCAACTTCGAAACGCGCGATCCTGATAGAAATCCATAGACAGAGGGAAGGTGCCATTAGAAAAGAAGTAAATCTTATACACTATCGTTTCTGATCGAAGAGTGGACTAATTGAGACAAGTTTGAAAAGTAAATGGTGTTTAGAAGCTTCTGGAATTTAGGAGAGGAAGTATATGTGTGCTAGTCAATTTCCGGCAAAATAAAATCGTCATGTGATTAAAGGAACCCTCCAATTTTTGCGGGGTTTCGGTCTATAGCATGCATTACGTTGAATAAATCAACTGGCATATGTTAATTACCTCGGTAGCCTATGGTCGAATGGCGTGAATGCACACAGGAGCGGAAAATTTTGAAAATGCATTATTTCGTTTGTATCATTAGGATTTTTAGTTGCGCACATTTGCATTAAACGTTTCAGAGGATCAGCTGGCAAGCATACGTATTCTTCCGGTCAATTCCTGTTGAGACAGTACATTTGTATAGGAATGGGGTAAAAACTAAAATGTGTGAATAATAACACAAGGAGATTACGGGTAGTATTTCCTTATACCTCGCGCTTTGAGTGTTTTTGGCTACATGAACCTGCCCTTACTCGTTATCGACCGGTCCCCTCTTTGCCGCATTGTCGTTATCGAAAGTATATATTATAAGGGCAGCTGAGACTTTGGACACTTAAAAAGAGACAACGAGAAATTTGGAGTCTCCGAGTACCTTCGAAAATTTACGCGTAGACAGAAAATGCACACCATCGATGGCAATACCCACCTTAACTCAAAACCCTTCTACAAGCCAGTGGTTAATACTTAGTTTACACTTCGTTTAGCGCAAGAAGCAAAAGACAACTAGATTCACTTTGGTAGAAAAATGGATTGTCCAGCTCGGGAGACGTTTGCGTTTATAGAAGTCTGTTTAAACTGAGAAAGTGAAGCTGCTCATTGAAAAAACTTTATCTTGTTTCTGGCATCTAAAAAAGGTTGGTTAACTCTCAATTTGCAAGACCTTTAATGTAAGAAATTGACAAGAGGTTGGAATGACCGACCAAGCTAGTCGCCTTCCACTGTCAGATTCTTTCGCAGTCTGCGCATTTTGGCAGTTACTTCTGGGAATTGACGGCAGCTGACTCTACGCGTCGTCATCATTGTGGCGGATGTTTGTAAATCAGCCCTCTCCTCCACTAATTTCGTCGTGAGACCGTATTATCCAGTCATTTAAATATTCGACATCGAACTCTTTGAAAATACGAGGACCAAGAGAGCTGTTCAAAACTTCAGAAACGGGGAAAGTCTAGTTTGATAAGACATTTCGGTTTCTTAAGCTATCAACTCAGAGGCCACGGTTGCAATACCAAATTTTGTTTAAACTAACCAGCTAAATCCTACAAAGGGCAGAACGTTTTTTGAGCGTATCGGTATTTTCGCCAGAAAAATGGCGGGACTTGGTATGGCATCGGAAGTTGTAAGCAAGTGACAGTTTTTGAATCATTTTCATTTAGCACCACATACTTGAAGTACCTGAAATCGGAAAGTTAAACGTATACGTGCAGGTGAGTTCTTAAATAGTGTTAGTCTTTGTATACAAACGGTAAATTTTATTTTTGATAACGAGTAGAATGCATTTGCGTTCGTTCACATGTAAATGCACGCGACGCACTGCAACACACGGAGCAAAATTCTTTCAGTTTTTACTCTTCTAATTCGTGGACATCTACTCGGATTGGTCTTGCGGAAACTGCCTTGCAGCCCCGCGGCTGCACTGCGTCCAGCGTACCTTCAAGGGATTCTAGACTTTCAGAATTTAAATGTCTGTCTATTTTCGATTTGTTCTGTACTTTTAAATTTACGTTATCCAAATAATTTGTTAAACTGATCGCTAACTTTTACGAGTCTCTATCTTCTATAGGACATAATCATGGAATTTGTAAATCAATTTGGACGTAACCGCTATATATTAGAGAAATACAGAGCGCTGACATTTAACTTCGACAAAAAACGCTTTCAGACGTGCAGAAATAAAACGGTCTGCAGAAACGACGGTGTATGGGCTAATTATATTTAACAGGCAAACGACAAATAGATATATGTGACCGAACACCTTATTAACAAGGCCACCCTAACATGCAAGTACTTTAGCATAGTGCTTTTTCTTATCTGCTAGAAAAATTCGGTCAGAATACATCAAAGTTTCATACTCATAGCATCGTAGATACGAATATTCAAATGCGTTCAAACACCATATTCATGGTTTTAACTGAATGGTTAATCCTATTACGTTTGCATTTAATTAATAAATATCTTCTGATTATGTCGCGATTTAACGTCTAATCTTTCACCACAGGGGAATCTTGTCTCGCATTCTGTCGCATTCCTTACAGTCCATGATCTCGGTTGCAATCGTGAGTTAATATTTTCTGGAGGATCAAGCTTTATTTATGCCTCTTCCACACGTACCAGATTGTCATCTTTTGCACACAACCTCTGCTCACATGATGAGCTGTTATTCACTCTATCCTGCACTGCCTGCAAATATTTTATATACCACCTAAAAATATAAATTATCTCACGCTCCATATAAAAGCATCTGCATTGGCAGGAATGTTTCTGAGCTTTATGGTGTTCGAATTGTAGTTTTACACGAGTGGAATCCTATAATGGTCAGATCACTTTACAATGCAAACAAAGCAGATAGCGCCTGCGCATTGTGCGTTAATTTTTCGAAGGCTATATTAACACTCGTGAGCAACACCTGTTCCTCATAAGACAGCAGATTATTTTAAATTGACCTCATGCAAACTATTTCTAGGAAAGGTCCCAAAAACGACAGACAATCGATATTAAGGCCCGTATATGTTTCGATGATGCCAAACTATTACCTCTTTGCTGTGCAACAAAGCTAACAACAAGGTTTTTGATGCCCAAGGCATTTTAATGATTTTTATTAGTAACAGGCCATATACGACTATTCAAGGAAGTTAATAATCTATTAAGCATGTACTGTTTTTGAAACGTATCACTGCGAAAGCCGTCATTACCTTTTCTTAAGCAAACAACAGGTCTTTGAGTAGGAAGTGTCCCCCAGTAAAACTGGCACGGACCTAATATGTCTCTAAATCCAAAAAATCAAGCACACATTGGATCTCCTTAAATCTATGCTTTAAAATGGTGGAATCGATCGGAATGTTAGCAATCCCATTGTCAACACGTTTTAGTTATTAGTATGAGTCACTTGCGACATAGAATAATATTAAAGGGAACAAAATGCTCCACTTCCCCTGTGGACTAAAGTTACTAACGGGAACAAAAGAATGTGCAAAAACTAATAGAAAAGATCAGACAAAATTGCCTGGTCCATTTGATATACTCAAAACTATTGTTTTAGCTTGATTGCCCAATAAACTAGGTATAAACTTTAGAAAGTTGATAATTTTCATTGGCTCATATCCGTCGATACTCCATATTTTCCACCAAAATTATTCACCTAGCTGCTTCGAAGTCCACTTTTCAAGGTATATCCGGTTCTAAAGAAATAATTACAGTCAAGAAGTCATTCGTCATTCCCCAAGTCACCTCTTAAATTGTTACCATTTTCATAAAGCATGAAGCACAGTAGATGTACTGTCTGTACCGTACTGATGTTAACCAAAATTCTGAAATGCGTCTTCAATTCCAAAATGATTACTTTAGTGGAGTTGTAATATTGATCATTATGTGGCATTATATCAAGGCCTTCCAGTTGTGTCACGATGCCGGATTTCGAATGACCTTCAAATCAGTCGCCTGCATAACTTTTATTCCGTAAAAAGGGCTACTTATTAGTATAAATTTTACTCAACGATTTTTGGCACTCTTATATTTTATTGAAAACATACATGAAAAAATCCTTTCTTTTATTCATTTGGTAACAAATCGCGTTTGCTTCCAAATTTATACTTGGAGAAAGAGTGTCCCTTGGTTTTAAAAAAATTTCTTACTATGACACTTCTCAAGACCTTGAAATTTCCATTCGTACAGCAGCACATTATCACATTTATCAATCCTGCCTGTAAAATGGACAATGTGGTCTATATCCACTTTCCAATTTATATGTTCGTTTTATAATGACACATATAAATGTACGAGTTGTTTGCTCGAAAAGAATGAAGCTTGTAGTTCGAAATTTCTGAGCGCACGTTGAAAGCCCAGCCAGGTTTAAAATTATTCGGAAATCAGTTAAGTTATGCAAAACCGAAAAACACTCTCTCTTCAAGCATAAAATTTCAAGAAAACGTAATCCGCTAAAAAATAAGCTAAAAGGAATATTTTTGTGAATATTTTCTACATAATATATTTGGATTTTTAAGGGTATCAAAAATCAATAGTAGAAATTCGTGCTGACTAGGCAGCCACTTTTTGCATGGTATATTTTTCGCAAATGGTCGATAAAAAGCTTATTTGAAGGCCAAAATCCCTGATAAAGTAATCCTTTGGAGTTGAAAACACATCACATATTCCCAGTCAACGTTTGATGTGATAGCATATTACATTAATTTATAATCCAAATAAGTCATATTCGGTATACTTATGCTAAAGGTGCTTTCCATGAAGAAAAGCACTTTAACTTAGCAGCATGATTTATGCTGGAACGGCCATTAGCCCGACAAATTAGTACCCTTTTATAGACGTCAGGAGTAATCATGATTGCTAAAGCAATGCATAAAAATACAGGCAATTTATTGCATGCATAGATTTGCCTTTAATTCCTGTCTGTGTTTATTGCAAACTGAAAAGACAGGTAGCTGTTAAAATAATGGGCTGAACTTCCGTCCTAGAAATAAACATAATTTGCGGAATGGTGATATATCCAGATTTCGTCATCGATCGGCCGTGGTTTCTCACAGCAATTTGGTGCCTTTAATTATCCCCAATCCACTCATAAAATTCCACTCAGGTAAAGCAAGAACATAATTATAACGTGGGAGCGGGCCACAAACAGAACCTGCAGGTATTTTCAGTAGAAACCCTAATCATTGAAAAAATAAAAAGCTTACAATAGGAGACAAAGAAAATGAATTTACTAGCAGATTTATTGGTCAACCACACTATATCAGTGGGACTTAACTTACAATACACAAATTATAGCCAATACACAAGTCGCTGCCCGGCTGTGATGCTAAAAGTTTATTTTGGTACATTACTTTTAAATTCGTTCTTTCGATTTTGCAAAAGGAAAAGGAACCCTTTATGCGTAAGGAAGGCCGTCAATCGCCCTGAAATTACTATAAGATCGAGGTTCCAATCATCATTTAGAATCCTCATCTGTCGGGTGAATCGCGGGTAGAAATCTTAAGATCGGTTGCAAATGAATATTCAGCATCCTTAACACAAACTACGACGTAAACCCTAAAGGCATCACCTGCGCAGAGCTTTGTTTTTAAAATCTATCTTCCTATTCTGATGGGATCCAAGCCGTCCTCTCGTTTGTATGAAAACCCGGTGCGCCATCCATGTGCCAGATCGTGTGCGGAACGCTTTAACGGGGCGTTTAGCATTGCCAGTCACTGCGTCCAGCCCCGCCTCCGGTCCCCCTGACTCTTGCACTCTCACCCAAATCTTTGTTGGATGATAGAGTGTACATATGCGACATACGTCTGTTACCTTTATGAGCTAGTTCACGCACGCGTCGTCGCTCTGCGCCGACCTTGTTGGGTTTCACCTGATAAACGGTGTAATTTTTAACGGTCCAGCTGTCATAGCCTTTCAGCTGTTAGTTGACTGCGTGTATGATAAGAAAACTCACGCAACAAATATTGGAACCGTAGTTTGCGGCCAACCTAGTTAACTCTTGAAAGCATCAGTGTCTTTCGGGTGTCACTGCTAAAACGATAACGCTCCTAATTTAGAAAACAGACAAAATATATCTGTTGAAGTAGACTCAAGATTTTTTCCCATAAATATATTCATTACCATTCATCCAATATGTCCAAGTAAAAGTCTGCCATTTCAAAACAAATAAAGCGCCGTACTGCCGAACATCACTGGAAATTGAAAACTCGGCTAGCCTCTGCGTACACTAGGTAAGCTAGAATGCTTTCTTAAACACATTTTACTGAGAGCATATTAGTAGGCCTTCTCTAATGTAAAGTTGTACTTTTTGAGTTATTTTCGACTTAGTGGCGGCATAATCTTACCGAAAGATACAACTTCACGATAACCGCAACAAGGCCTTCTATTCAGGAAAAGGCTATGGATTAATTTTCGCTAAGCGATAACTTGCACGATTTTGGTGTATATATCTTGGTTAAAGGAGCCGATGTCTCTGCGAAGAACTGGATGACAGACGAAAAATGGACCTTCTGATGTGACTTGACTCGTTACCGAGGTGACTTTATGCGGTTGTTTTGGAATTCAATAGGTTACCCGGGAGATATGGTTAGCGGTACTAGACAGTGCTGGGTACACTTTTAAAGTGGAATTCGGATCGGTATTAGTTAGCTGCGTTAACATTCTCTCTCAAACTCTCTTGAAACCATTTGACAAATGCAAGACATAGAAACAACTGAAGAAACTTGCTTGCATAAATTGCCATAATATGGCTGCTAGAGGAGCTTGCAATTTTTTAAAAAAGTTATTATGTGAGTTCCTGTGAAAGTTATGGCGAAGTATGGAGAATAATTATAAAAGGAGTTTGCCTTCAGTGCTGTTCTTCTTTTTGCGGATGTTATTTTGCTCCTCTGTGTTGCTCGAAATCAATTGTTTAGAATGCCCTGTCAATGGAAGGTTTCTGCAAGATGATTGTTTCTTAGGAAGTATTTACGGACCTTAGTATTCAAGCCTAGATGTCCAAATCTCAAAAAACATTCTTCTTATTTGGACGCACAATATTGGGAAAGTTCCCGTTGTTGTTTTCCTTCTGAAGGGCCTTTCTGGATTGAAACGTCACGTCTCTCCGTTAATACAGGCCTCAGAATATAAAAAGAATATTACGCTGTGCATCACGAAGCTTGAAATACGATGCGTTTTATTATTCTACTGCATGTAGCCTGAGCTAATACGTACAGTAGGTGGGCTAACTCATGAAATGTCAACCGAAATTCCGAAATGCGGTTTCGTTTCGAAAAGACTAATTTAGTGGGATTGTTAAATTAATCGTCATGCAGCATAATTTCACATTAATTCAGTTATCTCAGGATGAAGTCTTTCGAAAGAATTTCCTTTCGGCTACACGCAGGAACTACACTCTGTAAAAAATGACTATTTATGTAGCATGCATTCCTCTCATTGAATTTCGATGCTCTTCAAAAGCAAGTTATATTTCATGCAAAACATGCATAAAAATATCCATTCTTTTAATCATTCAGTGGAAAATGACGTCTTCTTCTAATTTTGTATTGGAAAGAAGGGCAGCATTCGGTTTCAAAACAGTTTAACAATTCCCGAAGAACTCTGAAATCAACCTGCCGTTACGCTTGCATTCAGGGTTTCCGAACTACAAGTCGTATATTTTCCGCGTATGGAAAACCGTAAATTTCTCTGCGGCATTAAGAGGAAACCTTATGGGGTACATTAAAGTTAGCAGTGGATTTGAGCCATATTGTTGACGTTACAAGCCACATTGGTGACGTTTTATGAACGGGTATTTCACGGTATTAAGAAATCTCACAATTAGAAAATCTTTAAAACCAAATTTCACCCTTCATTTGAACGAAGACGTATTTTTTTACTAAATGAGCAAAAGTGAATATTTTAATGCATGTTTTCCAAGAAATATAACTGGATTTTTAAGAGCACCGAAAATCAATCAGAAAACTGCATGCTACTTAAGTAGTCATTTTTTACAGAGTGTATTTTCCGCGTACAGCCGAAAAGAAGTTCTTTCGAAAGCAGGCAATATGAGGTAATCGAATCATTATAGAACTATGCTACATGACGAATAATTTTACAACTCTACTTAATTAATCTTTTCGAAAGGAAAACGCATTTCAGAATTTGGGTTGGCATTTCATGAATTAGCCCACCTATTGTACGTTACAAAAAAAGTATTCTTAACATGCTTCGCGAAAAATTACTTTTTACAAGTGTTTTTACTAACTCCCTCTATTGACGACGACTGGAGCATTTGTTTAAATTGGAGAACGACCCCCTTCACGAGCGTAATATTTTTTAAATGTCCCGCATATGGCGCAAGTTTTGCTTACCATAACTTTGAAGGATCTGTGGAGAATAAATTCAAATGATCTGACTCCATGAGCGCTGTAATCACGCTATTCATGTTAGGTTTGCAGTGCCGCACTTTTTTGCTACAGAACAGCCACTCCATTTTTCAAAACATTAACGGAGGAACAGGCTGGAACTGTCCCCTGTTAACATAAACATAAGCATTAGTTTCACCATACGTCCATCACTCGCCCCGTATGCTGATGAGATCTATTTAAATTAAAAGTTTGGGTGCAGATATTACAACCTGATTAACAGGTCATGCACCACGCTCTGCCATGAAATGTGCTCACGATTTCTGAGATTTGACCATAATGGCGATTATTCTTGCGACCCCGTTGTTAGACTTGACTACTGAAGTAATCCCACTCTGTAGCGTCATCCTACAAAACACTGATGTATGATCGTGAACTTAACGAAATATGCTACCTACATACGTCGGAATTACCAAAGTTGAAACGCGAACGCTGACAAACAAGCTCTTTTATTATACTGACTAACAAGCAGGTATGCAATTAGTGCTAAAATTTTGCGGAGTTATTTCCGCAACGATATTATTTTGGAAAAGACTTAGATATATACATATCTCCACTAAACCCTTTTGCATTCTTTCTGAACATTGTCCTAGTGATTCTCAATTTTAAAATAAATAAGGCCAGTCTTGAAAATAAGCCACTTTTTCTGGCCTTTAGACGCGGTTTTTCTAAAATAACGTCGTTTCGGCGATTGTGTCTAGTGTTTGCTTTAAGAAAGTGCTTACAGATACGCGTGGTCGTTGACTCATAATCATACTGTGACTTGAGAAGAGACACACGTCTCATTTTTTAATTGCTGCCTATCACAACTGTCTTTTTACCAATTAATCGATAAGTCTGTCTCAGTAATGCTGAACCTTTTTTAATGTCCCATGTGTGGAGACATAGGAATTTTTGCAGCGGCGCTTAAAAACTAAGTTTTCAGCCGATGAGAAGCAGAACGTGAAAACCAATAAGTTTTACATGGGACTTTCTAAAATAGGTAACTTCATTCCATAGAAAATTCTATCATAAGCACTGCACGCTGCTCTTCTTCGGCAAGCAAAAGAGCCCTGGTCTTCGACCGAGAGTTTTTGCCTGTAGGTTCGCAAGCCATCGCTACGTTATGCCCAAACTTCTCCAACCAGCCAAACAAGGGATTGGTCAGTTTCACTGCCGCATGCCTAGGCTCGGTCTTTGCGCGCATACTTGTTGCATAGCTGCCGTTGATAACATATGACTGTCCATATAATCAAAAAGTCATTTTATCGGACTTCTGGACAAAGATTGAATTTCGAAATTAAATGGCTGACCACGAAAAGAGGACTGCTTTGCCGGCAATACAAGATTATGCATATATATCGGGGAATATAGCAGTTACAAAACTGCGTAGTTAAGGCACGCAAGGGCGGTTGTCATTTTGCCGGGTTATAAAAAGAACGTCAAAAACGGCCATGCGATGCTGACTTCTGTTAATGCTCTCGCACATGAACATATTTCGGACAAAATGGACCCCGTGTTGCAGAAGTGTGAGCGACTAATCGCCAGTCTGGGGCCAGGCGAATACCGTAAGGACAAAAATGACAAAATAATTGGTTCGAATGTATTTCGCCCATTTGGTGGAAAAAGGAGACGTATTAATGTTTGTCGCATCGTCTTGAAAATGCGAAGGAACGTAGAATAACTTCCAGAAGGACTCTGTAACTGGTCCCGCTGTTCTTTCTGGCAATACAAAGCGCAGATAGTTTAAGTATGATCAAATTTATTTTCCTTACTGGTTTGAACGTCTCAGACTTTCTGCGTTCGTTTGAAATCTGCTCAATTGTGCTAAGATTGAACGACATTAAACCGCAAGAATAAATAATCATTAGGACTATATGAGCGGAAAGTCATTGTGTCGCAACAGACGCAAAAGCAAACTGTTTTGACGTTGGAGACTGAATATGACCCCTAAATTCGCACTTTTTCGGCTCCTGCGTTTAAACTGCTTAACGGATGGATGGCGGTTACTATGCGGTACAACCAAGAAAGCACTGATCACAATGTCTTTATATATTTTTTAATATAAAGAGTTACCTTAGTTTAGTTGCGAAAGTGATAAATAGAGTTCATCATCCGAGGGAAGACAACGCACGGCAACATGGCTACCAAGCAGGTCCCCGGCCATCCATACAATTCATATTCTTAAAAATTTGCTATTGCTTACTTCGTCATCATTTTATTATTTATAGCATATATCTTTAAAAAACACTTTCCATTAAACATGTGTGGAATATGCTTTCTGATAGTCATTTTATATGAAGTTGGGGTATTTCATACTGTGTACTGGGAAAAATCGAGAGTTCAAATCTCCGAAAGTTCGTAGTTGTGGACCTTTTGAAGATGTTTACGCAGTTTTTCGTGCAGCTCACTATTTCTTAGCCTTTAGATCAGCGCTGACAGAGTATGGAGCCTGATCTTTACTCGGATCTTTTTAAACGACGAGGAAAGCATCTAGCAAATGGTTTCGAAATCTTAAAGAAAGATTAAGCAAGGAGATTGGATTAAAACCCGCAGTAGCACGAGTTAAAGTAGGCTTATGTTGCACAGCAAGCCTACACATCCGTAAACAGGTATTTGGTCGTCATACACTTTTGTTACCGAAATCATGGGGAAAATTATTCAGTTAGTGCCATCGTTCATTTCCTTTCCTTTATTCGAAAGAAAAGAACAGCTAAGTTAAAAATGATCCGTCAGTATTTTAAAGGCACCCTTGTTCTCACCACGTGTTGGGGAAGTTTTCGTTTTATCTGACTTACGGAGATAACCCTCGTTTCTGGTAGCAAGTTTGCGCACACAGCCAAAACTCACCATATTGAAGGCAAGCCAAAATGCACGGGTTTTTGGTCTGCGCATGCCGAGTATAGAACGTATGTTGCAGACTGTACAGATGCTTTTTCTGCGAAAGTCGAAGGAAGTAGGGGTAGGCTCATACGGCATCCTGTCTGTGGCATTTTTCTGACCAAGTGCTTTCATGGGTTTAGTCAAACTGACTTACCGGCGTAACGAATGTGCGAACAGCACAGAATTCAGCTTAACTTACAATCCCCATTTGCACTCGAGTTTCCTCTTGCTACCTGGAAAAACGCCAACGATCCAAGAAAGATGATGTACCACGCACAGTCGGTAACCGGACGCTTATTCGTTAACTCTTTCAAAATCTAAGATGACAGGGTCACAGACTGTCTGCAAACCCCAGTGAAAACTGATCAAAAGGCCGACAGCATGCTCTGTGAGTGCCTATGTTAAGAAAGATTACGGTGCTCGTGTTTTGCTAGAAAATATTCTGGTTTTCTCTGTGTTAGCTAATTTTCTTTTGAGTGTCATCCGAACCTGCATATATAGTTCTTAGTTACTCACAATATAACTAGTTGTTAATTACTACAAGACAGTGTTAGCGTGATGACCTAACGCCTTGGATATTACCTGTTATCAGTCCAGGGGAAGAGTATGGTTTTGTTTTTGACACAGGAGATTAACTGTCCAGGAGCTAAACAGCGTTTCTCAGGGCGAATCCGACTGAGGTCTAATTTTTCAATATAATCATCAGGGAGAAGAGTAAATCTATCGTTATTTACATAACCCTACCTGTCTGCACAGCTATTCCACCAAAAATACTAGATATTAGCTCACATATGCATATCGGTATTCGAACCGAACCTAGGGGAATTGGCGCTGAAGGATTTACTCCAAGAAAATCGAAGAGCTTGGTGCTCAAGTCTGAAGTCCAATGAGATTAGGACAAGTTTGAGACTCTAAACGTTGGAGGCAGCTAGAACAGCACTGACGACGTCGTATGCACAAAAGCGGTCGACGGATGAGGTATCACAGTTACTCGTGGGTATTTTTACTGAAGCGTTTCAAAAAACATTAGTTTACTGCCATCTGGCATGTTAGCCATGCTCAGAATATTCAGGCACCCCAAACTTTAGCAACACGTGAGTGAATTTACGAGCCAAATCCCTATAGAGTGCTGCCCTAATTTTCTGATAGGCCTTTTCGTTTTCACTATCATTTTTAAATTACTACCTCCCACTGAGCACTATGACTTATTGCAAAAGACAAATGCACATTGCGAAGACGTACTTATCCTTTGCTGGCTCATTAGCTTCATTACCTGGAGGACCTCTTAATTGTAGACCTTAGCCTCAAAAGAGAGTTTTATGTGATGTGGAAACTTTTGCATATATTGTCTGCAGACTTCATGTTATCCGTTCATATTTTTTGAACTCGACCGAGTGCTTCAAAATGGAGAAGGATAGTGGACGCACTGGATTTTCCAGCCAATTAGCCGGCAACCACAAATCATGCTTCTTAAGTGGTGCTGTCTGATGCTCCGTTTGTCAGTTCAGTTGGACGCGCTTCCGCAAAATTCACGCGGTGGTAATAAGATTTAACCGTTTTGTCAACACAATCGTAGTCCTTCTGGCCTATTGCATACTTCGAAATTGCATATAACATAAGGGGTGCTGATTTATTTCTGAAAATATGGAATCTTACATATCCACCGTATCTTTTTAATATTCGGACAGCAATATCTTTTCGCAAAAAAACATACAGATGAGTTCACTAAAGAAAGTCTCAGTAATTACAATCAAAACCTACAACAAAATAACTCATTTTAGCTACAACACACAAAAATACCCACACTCATAACGATATCCTATCACTAAATAACCCCAGATAATCCATGAGTATGAAAAGGGCTTGCTTCCGCCTGAAACAAACTACGCAATTTCCGAAACGGTATGCATTAAATTTGGAAAATCCACTTAAATGAGCTTTCAGGGCTTATTTGCGTGAAAAGCAGTGCCTATACAACCTACGCTTACGACCATACTTATTTCTTTAATTCGTAAACCACGACCATTTCTATTTTCGTTGGTGTTTAAGCTTGACTGTATTCAATATTATTTCCTAGGATAGATGTGCTAAATTAGTTCTATTGCAGATTTCGCCATTTTAAAAATTCGTCTGTTAAGGAACAACGCTAATTTTTTTCCCGGCAGGTTTTATTTTTAAGTGTGTTTTGAAACAAAATCTACTTTGTCACTTATTTCTAATGTTTCAAAAACTTACGCTCCCTATTTTCTGTCGGAGAAGTTGACTTATGTATATATGCATATGATGATGGAGGGGCGCTTACCGATCAAAACCGGCAGGAAAACGAGCCCCTGGCCCAGTGGTTAGAGGCGCTGGACTTTTAACTAACAGGTCGCGAGTTCGAGCCGCAGGTATTCCACACGTCGAGGTTGGGTAAGATTTGCTGACGACGGCTAATAAACCAGAAATGGCCATTCCAGTCTCCCTTGTCTTTGTCGGTAATATCATTCCGCCTATATATCATGCGCAGCTGTGCGGCTGCTGGTTAGGCTCGAGAGAGAGCCCTTAAGGCACAACGGAACGAGTGAGTTCCGTATGAATGATCGGTGAGCGTCCCCTACCATTGTATATTCCCGATCGAAAACCGACAGGGCAACGGGCTCGTGGCCCGGTGGGTAGAGGCGTGGACTTCAAAACCAACAGGTCCCGAGTTCGAGGCTCCGGTGTTCCACACTTCTGGCTTGGGTATGGGTGGCTGACGACGGCTAATAAGGCAGAAATGGCCATTCCAGCCACCCTTGTCTTTGTCGGAAATACCATTCTGCCTAGACGAAAGTCGATCAATACGGACTGACGCACAAGACGGCCGCTGACTGGCTGAAGCACCAAATGAGTACTGATTTTGTAGCACGTTTGAAATGTCTGTTGTTCTCTGCATATTTACTCAAGTCTAACGACGACACGGAAATCCGACGTAGAAAATTTTCTCAATGAAGTTTTTTCCTTTTCCCAACGAACGTATTTTCTTTCAAATTATGTTTCTTGGGATGGCCGAGTTCCAATTCATATACATAAATATATATATATATATCCCGAATGATAGAGAATACGCGCGGCCCAGGTAATTGCATAGAAGAAGACGGGAAGGCGATCGCTGGGACCAATGGTTTTTTTATCCGACGTTTCGAACTCTCATGAGCAAAATCAACAAGGACCTGGCAAGTCTTCGGAAGTCAAAAGCGATTACACAGCTTGACTGGCAGAGGATGAAACCAAAGGATTCCGCGATCGCGAGATTCTATGGTCTACCCAAGGTCCACAAACCAGGAACCCCCCTACGACCGATCGTTTCTCTAAGAGGCACACCAACGTTTGGCCTGGCTAAGTGGCTGTTCCAGCGTCTGAAATTCCTAACCCAATGTTCTGAAACTACCATCCACTCAGCAGAACGATTCCTTGAGAAACTGCCAGGTATTCAACTTACAGATGACGAAGTGATGGTATCTTTCGACGTGATATCACTCTTCACTTACATCCCACAACATCTCGCGGTTGAAACTGTGCAAACCTTGTAAGAGCAACGTTATAACGAGACGGACAACAAACTTAAGATAAAACACCTTGTCGATCTCCTGAAACACTGCTTGAAGACCTTCTTCACCTTCAATGGAGCCACGTACGAACAAGTTAAAGGCACACCGATGGGGTCGCCGTTATCCAGCTTGATTGCTGAGGCAGTGTTACAGCGACTGGAGGCACTGGCTTTTGACCACTACCGACCACGATTGTGGGTACCGTATGTTGATGACGCATTTGTCATTATCAATCGGGACAGGATTGGGGAATTCACGCAACATCTGAACTCGATCTTCCCAGATATCCAGTTCACGATGGAGGAGGAAAAAGATTGTCAGTTGCCGTTCCTCGACGTACTAGTCCAGAGAAAAGGCGATGGGGGACTAAAACCAACAGTTTACCGAAAAGCGACAAATACCTCTCGTTTTCTGAGTTTTCTCAGCAACCACCCCCTTTCGCACAAACGCAGCTGCGTAAGAACACTCTACCGGCGGGTAGAAACCCATTGCACAGAGCCAGCCGACAAGAAGACCGAGGCTCAGTTTCTGAGGAAACTCTTCACCATGAACGGCTACCCTGGCAGTTTCGTCGAAAAGTGCAGGTGAGAAACCCGGGGAAGAAAATCGAATGGGCAGCCGAAACCGAAGTGCTGGCGCGCAGTGCCGTACGTAACTGGTTTGTCAGAAGAATTCGCCAGACTGGTGCGCGAATTTGGGATCGGCGTCGCGCACAGACCTGAAGCCACAATCCGCCGGCAACTCACGCCGCCCAAGGATCCAATTCCCATAAATCAGAAATCGGGGGTCATTTACCGGATAGACTGCAATTGCTGCCAGGCCAGTTATGTTGGTGAAACCGGAAAACAGGTCCGCACGAGATTGCATGAGCATGAATTGGCCGTGAGACGGAAGGATAAACTCTCTTTGGTAGCCGCCCACGCCTCCTCGCCAGGACACGCCTTTGACTTTGGGAGCGTGAGAAGACTAGGACAGTCAGACAACCGAGTTGCGCGCCTGCTGCAGGAAGCGTGGCACTCAACTGACGACGCGATTAATCGACATATCGATCTGCCAATCGCCTATCAAGCACTGCGTGAACAAATCAACAGCGCAGCTAGAGGTCACCCCCGGCAGAGGTGAGGTAAATACACGACGAGCTGTACAGTTTTTTCATTCCTTGACGATGGGCTCGCATGAGAGTTCGAAACGTCGGATAAAAAAACCATTGGTCCCAGCGATCGCCTTCCCGTCTCCTTATACAAATATATATATATATAGACACAGACACGTTGTCCGACGTTCGGAGAGTTTCTTATATTCACAAAACTTTGCAACGAATTGTTCCTACGTTTCATCTAAGAGGACAGAAACTAAAGAAGTATGAGGCATGTTTGTTTGCCTTAAAGTGCACAAGCAGGATATGCGCGTGTTATTGTGTGTGGCAAGACACTTTGCAGCTGTACGGCCGCTCATGGTTTGTTGATGCGGTAGGGTACAACTTTCATGACAGTACGCATTCGATCGATCCGTGCTGCGGATACGTTGCTGAAGCGGGAGGTACACCACGCGACCCCATATAGATCGTGTAGAGCGGACAGATCTATCTGTTTTGCCAGCCCTCAAGCCCACCTATCGTCCTTGGCTCCAGGGGGCCGTGCTCTGCACTGTGACACATACCGGTAACCGTCTTTAGCCGGCAGACTAAATCGGATGGGGATGCGCGGAGTGTGTGTGTCTTCACACCCGGAAGCCCCGGAACTTATCACCACTCTATCTCCCCTCGTATGAAGAAAAACATCTGCGTCGAAGGTGACAAGCAATCCCATAGGCAGTCCAGGCTGCTTCGGATCCACTTCCCTGTGTAACAAATTCTTTACCGACAGTGGAGTTGGCAACTTTCTGGATAAATAACCGGCTTTGTTCGGTGGTAGAATTTCTTAAGGAGAACAATTTGACATAAGTGTGCGTGAAACACGCCGTCACCAAGCTCAGCGTGGACCGTAGACACAAATATTCATAGTAGGCAATATACGAGGCAAGCGTCGCTCTATCCTTCCCTCAAATTCTGTTTGAGTGACACTATTCCCTCTGGCGGCCTAGAATGGTCACTCAATTTTGGACAATCCAATAGCACTGTCCGGAAAGCAGGCCAGCCCTGGTCGCTTAGGGGCTAGCACACCGAAAAAGTGGACGTGGTGACACTCAACGAAACTCCTTTTTCCGAACAGGGGTGAGTGGAGGTAGGTGTCAGGTAGGCAGTTTTCTGGAACTGACGTCCAAAGGGCAGGACGACAAGACGTTAGAGTCGCTTTTGCTGTCAAGAAGGACGTCGTAAGACGACTTTCCCGTCTCTCGCGGAAAACCGGCGATTATCTGGTGGTCATGGGTCTGTAACTGCACGGGGACAATTTCGCTAGTCTTATCAACGCCCACCTTTTTCCAGTGACAGACCTCGACGAGGTATAGGATAAATTCAACAATGTCGTCCATGTCTTCTTGACGAAAGGGTTAAGGACGAACAGATTCTTCTCTTAACTGACTCAAATACCCATTTTGGTACAGAAAAAACCTTCTGTGAGGAAGTGCTATGCCAGCTCGGGTACGGCAGTGCCTTGCTCAGATAAAAAATGTTCTCATCACCAACACTTTATTCTCTCTCGCTATGCGTTAGATACAAATGTGCGTCCACACTCGTTTGTGACAATGCAAATACTGGAGCTCATTATTACCGGGAGACAGAAGTAACACGATGCCCTATTAACCAGGTCTAAGCGCGACGCGAAATGACGGATAGACTACAATCTTCTTGTCTCTGACATGAGGCTGCGACTTAATTTCAACAGGCGATCGAAAAGTAAGAATTCAGAGTTAAGTTATGCATTAAGCGGAACGCCTGAACACCAATTGAACTTTAGTTGTTGCCTACATCTCAATGTTAAACAAGTCAGTTTGTGGAAGAAAGTGCCGCTGTTGGGAAGAACCGCTGAATTCCATTCAAGTTTTTTCCCCCGAGGCACTCAGTGGCGCACACCGAAATTACCAGGATAAGTTCAACAAAAGCGACGAGATCCGAGGTCGGAACTCAAGCATAACAGTCACACAACATTTCGGCCGCCGATTTTGATGACGCCCACCGTGTGCCCTACAGCGATGTGGGTGTAGGGACGATGACTTGCGCGTGAATTAGTTTATAGTTACAGTAGATGTGCGCAGCATCTGCCGCTCTCTCTCTCTCTATTTACTCCCACCCAGACTCGACGTCGTGGCAGATCCAGAAGACGGAAGGTGGGAGATGTTGCAGGCCGCTGGAACAAGGGAACCCCTCACCTAAGCGTGTTACCACGCCGGTTCGGATTCCACTGAGCTGGAGTGCCACAGAGAACCTAGTTGGAATAAGCCAGGGCAGCCTGACTCTTATTCCACCGGTTGGCTACTCAACACCAACAAACACTGGGCTGACCGCGAAGTCCGAGTTATTCCGTCAGTTGGCAGTCTTTACCGTTATAGATTCAAGGGCGTCAGATTGCTTATAGTAGGCAATATGCGCCAAGACAGTGGACTTAACTCTCTCTTCTTACTCCCGGGCGTCAGTTTACTCCCCGAGTCATTCAGTCGTCTGACGCGAGAAACAGGCTTAACACAACCTACATCAACAGCAATATCGACGCCAATAAAGCGGCATATTTCCGGCGCTGAAGATTAGTGCAGCAGAATACCTAGTGAGATATAACATTTTTGGCTAATTCAGAAGGCAGAAGAAATTCTGGGATAGGCTGGAGAATTGTTTTGCAGCGATCCTAGTAGTCTATGATTGCCAACCCACGGACACTGCGCCACTGTTCAGTCACGATGGATTAACTTTGCTGTCGCAGAAGTCTCAGATCTCCCATCGTCAGACCACGCACCTGCAGAGTATCTTCAACTACTCGTCCACAGTCTGCAAAGAAACCGTGCATTGACCTCCTCACGTAGACAACAATGACAGCCCGTTCATACTTATTCTTCCGGGAGACAAGTTAGCGCTGCAGCAGCTGTATAGCGGAAAGGCATTATTTGCAGACGCAATCTCATCCAAAATCTACCGAAACGGTGGCCTCCAATTAACGGAAAATCTTAATCCACTATTTCAGGAGACGTGAATTTTACTAGAAATGCAGAAAGACTTGAAGCGCTTTCCCAGGTCCCCCCAAACGCACACAAGGGGAACTGGAAAACCTATGATAGGCTCAGAGGCATCGCCCTTCTCAAAATCATAGAAGAATCTTTACTTACGTCCTACTTAGTCGTCTGAACAGTCATCAGGACAGAAAATTCTTCTGGAAACACAGTGCTGATACCGAAAGTACAGTAGAATCCTGAAAATAAGCTTTGTGATCTGCCGAATATAATAAAAATTGTCTGAAAATGATACTAGACGAAGTTGTTTGGTGAATTGAGCTAATGTTCACTCCGGAAAATCATGCTTAAATCTGGATGTTACAAGCTCTCAAATCATAGGCGGTTGATTCAAATGGCCAGAACATCACGAGACGTATGATGACTCGTGCCATGGATAATGAGGAAGTCCCTGATGCATTCACGCTGAAGAATAAGGTGAGACAGGGTACTACACTCGTTAACATGGCTTCAAATCTCCTGTTCTCTACCATGCTGATAGATGCCTACTGTAAGAGGCGACGAAGAATCATCATCACCTACCGATCCGACGGTCATCTGCATAACACCCGATGCAAGAATTTGTACCGCACGACCGTGGGAATTGGAATGATACTCTATACACTCCGTCTCTTTATAGAGGATAGAGGGCGGAGGGAGATACGCAAATCACGAACACCCCGAACCGGTGTTGTTTACATCCAAGCATTTACATCCTGCCTGCACTGCTAATGGAGATATGTACACGGATTTTCCTCGGCAGACGTCTTTGGATTCAGTGCAATATCAGCGCGACAGACCAGCATCCCTTTTCATCAAAAACCACCAACACTGTTTTGTTCTGCTTGTCGTCATCACTGCTGCCCCGTTAGCTAGCAAGTTGGACTGAGTTCTGTCTTGCCACCACTATGGCCGATGTAAAAATCTCCGTAGTCGGTCACTTTCAAATCCACGACGCCAAAATAACCGAACCAGTGCCTAGATCTACGCCATGCACCTAGTACACACGCTTGACTTGTACAGACTGCTCTGGGATATCCAGATCCCATATGAGTATTTTTGGCCACATGCAAATGCAACAAAATTTTCAGTGAAGTAGCACAGTCCAGACCCCCTTCAAAACACCTCACTCAACCTATACTAACACACCTCTAGGCTACAGAAAAAATTATTACGGAACGCGCATAAACGACGCGCGGCAGCAAAGCCTCATATAAGTGTTCACAATATGCATGTATCTATATGTTGCGTCAAGTGCTACATGCAAGAAGATGCATATCCGAATTAGGTGAGAAATATGCCATTCGGTGTGACCTGACAAGTGTGTACAGGTGACCAGGTCATAGGTTGCATGCGTAGACGGGATTTTCAACTTTACTAACAATTGAGCCCACGCTAATCCCCTGTAAGACTTACTTTTGTATTTCCATCCGAGTACAGTGGACGTGGGAGAGGGGATTGAGGTAGATTCGGCGGAAGTCTGCTCCGATAACAACAAACTCGCGCGCAAGTCACTGTTTATTAGCTCACCTCGTGTTGTAGCGGCGACGTAGTCATTAGCGGCGGTTGAACGATGGGCTTAACGAATGCGCCCATATGGAATATGGAATTGTCCTCAGTGCTGGTTGATTGTAAAAAAGATGGACTCTTTATTCGGATGAACATGAAATCACCGACCATACAACAACATACCTTTAGGCGCGGCCGTACTCCTGGTTGGTAAATCAGTTACACAAAAGAAGGTGATAAGCCTAGGCGACATTGTCGCTCGCTCCTCTTCTTTAAGTGCAAATTCTAAAATGACTTAAGTTAACACATTGAGAGCTTATGTGGAGACACTTTTGTGAATCCTTTCTAGGAAATAGGATTAATTTCAACTGGTTGTCCATACGCATTGGTAGACGCCGCATGTATACCAGCAAGTAGCGAGAGTAGGTGGGATAACTCGTGAAATGTCAACCGAAATTACGAAATGCGTTTTCGTTTCGAAAAGATTAATTAAGTAGGGTTGTAAAGCTAAATATCCGACAGGATAATTCAGTTACCTCGGGATGCTGGCCTACGAATGAACATCTTTCCGGTCGCACGGAAAAACCACACTCTGTAAAAAATGACTTCAGGTAGCATGCATGGTTCTCATTGATATTCGATGCCCTTGAAAAGTCAATTATATTTTATGGAAAACATGCAAACAATTTTCATTCTTTGCTCATTCGGTGGAAAATGACGTCTTCTTCCAATTTTATACTCGAAGGAAGGGTATAATTCGGTTTTAAAAATGTTTCCAGTTGGGGTCTTTTTTAATACCGTGCAATGACCGTTCACAAACTTCATGTCTCTGCATATATCAGTATGGCTTGCAAAGTTAACGATATGGTTCAAACCCATTGCTAATTTTTATGAACCCCATATGCTTTCCTCTTAATGCCGTAGAGAAATTTTTGGTTATCCGTACACAAAAAATACACGGCTGGTAGTGTGTAAACCCTGAATCAAGTGAAACGGCAGGTCGGGCTCAAAATTATTCGGCCACCGGAAAAATCTTTGAAGACCGAATTATACCCTTCTTCGAGTATAAAACTGGAGGCAGACGTAATTTTCTACTGAACGAACAAAAATGAATATTTTTGTGCGTGCTTTCCGGGAAATACAATTGAATTTTTAAGGGCCTCCAATTTCAATGAGCAGAATGCATGCTACATAAGTATTCTTTTTTAATGAGCATGGTTTTTGCATGCGACCGGAAAGACGTTTGTTCGAAAGTCGGCATCCTGAGGTTACTGAATTATTTTAGAATTATGCTGCGGTGGATTAGTTTGGCGACCATATTTTTTTCGAAAAGAAAACACATTTCGTAATTTTGGTTGACGTTTCACGAGTTAGCCTTCCTACTGTACTCTGATTTTTTGTTCGTTCCATGTTAAACCGACTAATCAACATCGAAATTCGGTATTTTGTAGCAACACCTTTTCAGTGACAGGCCTTATATGTCATAGTAATTTAAACTATTTTATCAACCCTAATATAAGTCTGGCCGAGATCTGCCGTGCGCCTAGTTGTGCTTCAAGCTCCTGTGTACCAAACATGTGGACATGTTTGTCCTGAGAGAGATTTGGATCATGGTTCCTGTGTTACATACAGTACGCCCAGGCTACGGATTCTTTCTGGACCTCCAAGGTCGGGGAATTCAATCGAGCAAACTAAGATCTCTGTTGAAGTAAGGTTGATCACATCCAGCCCTCTTGGTTTGGCGCAAGATGCTTTGCATAGAAAACTTGAGAAATCATATAATGAAACTCAGAGTTTGCCCAAAATTATGCACCTCGTGACGCTCTGCGACTTTTCTCAAAAGATATACTTTACCTCTGCTGCAAAAACCCATGAACAGATGAAGGGAATTACTATGGACTCCCCAAGCTCCTGTTTAGATGTAGTACTGTTCCTTACGAACAGGGTAAGTTTTTTTCATCCACCAGGTGTCGGTATTTGGCACCATTGCATTCACGATCAATTTGTTATCGTTCAGAATAACACGCTGCAAAATGTTCATTATTTACTCAAATCAATATTCCCAGACGTACAGGTTACGAAGGAAGAAAGGGAACAACAGCTGCCCTTCTTTAAAATGCCCGCCAGACGAAGTACCAACGGCAAAATAGAAATTACAGTTTACGGGACGGTAGCGAACGCCACGCAACTTCGCACTTTCCACAACAACCATTCGGTCGCTCACAAGCAAAGCTGCGTGCGATATCGGGAACAAATAGTCTGATAGCTTCGCGATCAGTTAATGTAGGACGGCCATCTGAAGTTGTTTGCAAGCTGATGCCTATATGTTTGCTCTCTCAGGACCCAACCAGAGACAGGATTCATGGTATGGTTTGCTCCGCCAAACACCAGAAGCCACCGAGCGCATTGCTGCGGGATTGAGTTTGGAAATTGCACACCGGCTCAAAGCCACCATGCACAACAGGGACATAAAAATCAAGTGCTGACTAAATCCCAAGAAGTAGTCTGAAGTCGTGTACCACATCGCATGCCTAAACGGTCCTTGTAACTATACAGGCCAGACTGAATGCATGCTTTGATCGCGCATACACGAACATTAGCTGGATGCGCAACCGATTGTCGCAAATGGCTGCCTAGACCTACGAAACGGGTCACGCGTTTAGTTCTCAGCCACGAGCATAGTCGCCCACTCCGAGGCCAAACAAGCCGCGCGTTGATTGATGCCAGGACCTCAGATTAGAACCCTGTCAATCGGTGTCAAACTGCCACTGGCACACAGAGCCCTTCGAAGCCACCTCCCGACTGCTGTCACTGATGTTTGATTGGGTAGTATCCCTTATAACTGTCGCTTGTTCTGTTACCGTATGTATCTCCTAGAATGGACTCCTGTACGAGCTCGAAAGTTGAGATAAATAAAAAGTGGTCTCAGCGATCGGATTCACTTCTTGCCTACCTAAGATTCTGTTCAACTTTTCCACAAACATTAGACAGGTACATTGTTTGACTGATTAATTTCTACCATCAGGGGGTCATCCCTGGGAGCATGACCTCAAAAATAACTCAACTTGCTCTCCAATCCCTTGCTTTATGTTGTGCTCATAAACGTTCCTCAATTTTGATGCAATTGACCACATAATAGAAACTGCACAGGCTGAGTCACGTTTCTTCGTGTTTTCTCATATTTTCAGTTTTTTACCGCAGTTTACAACTGGCGCGTTCTTATGTTGGTATTGAAATGTTTTTTTTATTTAAATTTAAAGAGATTTGAGAAGAAGAGTGCATGCACCAACCTGTGAGGTTCAAATTCCAAATTCTCTGGAGCTATTTCCATTTGTTTCTCGGTTTTCTGATAAGCGCCATCAACAAATGCTTATTCTCTAGGCTACTCAATTATTCTAGCAGACTCTGCGTATACATATGACATATAACAATATTTTTGAGAGAGGCGATTTTGATTTTAAAAACAGCTTTTGTATACATCTCAAATTATTCTTATGAGTCGAAAAGACCACTGTCGGTCTGTCTGACTAATCCTTGATAGCCTCTGCAATGCTGGTGCGTTTTCTGACAAAACCCGAGCAACTGGTCTTAACTAAATGCAGTGAACTCGGCGGAGATAAAATTGGTAGGCAATTTCATAATCTTCCGGCAATTAACTGCTCGTATCATGTGCTAAGTTCGTGAACATTCTCGAGGAGCAAGGGATGATTGGTAATAGCTACGACTCCTTTGTTGTAGGTCCTGTCCGACCCTCAGTTGCCGCGGGCAGCTAAAGTAGTTGGTGTGTTACATCTTAACAAGTATGATTTGGAAGTTATTTCAAAACCCCTGTAATAATGAGTGTACAATAGACGTAAGCTAAAATACATTTACAATACATGTAAGATATTTCGGGGGTCTGAAGTCCTCATATTATAATATTTTACATGTAATCTTAGTGGAAGTTTGGTGTCGTCGAAAATCTATTCAGAAACCAGTGTATGGGCACGACTTGCATATCCCGGAAGTATGCTGCGTAGTAATCCTTATCACAATCCCGCCTAGATAATCTTCTCTAATCCAAAGTGCGTTTCAGAATCTCAGATAAAGTTTTACGAAATATGCCACATACTGCACAAACAAGTATTTCCTAATACGAAGTCCAGTACAATGTTGAGCACCTCGAAACTTTCTAGTGATATTTGTTTCTTGTCCATATGGCTGGTAGGAAATTGCACGAGAACACCTTAAGTGTTTTCTCCGATATGTTGAGCAGGATTTTCCCGTTCCATTATTTCTGCAAGTAAATGCAATGGACATTGCGATGATGGTTTGGCTTAATTCTGTTGTGAGTGCACCTTTTTAATAAAAGGTAGCTTTTGATGAAAATACGGGTTTTGAATGGTAGAGCTCAAATATACGCTTTAATTAAATGACGGTTTAGAAGCAGATTGAAACCGTCGCTTTTAAGCAAACAACTTGTCTCTGTAATATTCATAAATCCTGCAGAAATAATAACCTATCTCATGAAATGTTGGCTGAAATTCTGAAATGCGTTTTCGATTAGGAAGGATTACTTGGTCGCGGTTGTGATACTGATTATCGTAAGGCATGCTGTTATAACATTTTGGACTTGGCAGGATGTCGGCTTTTAAATGCACCTCTTTTCAATCTCCTGTAAAAAGCGTGCTCGGTTAAAAATGACTACTTAAGTAGCATGCATTTTTCCCATTGATTTTAGATGGTCTTGTAAATTCAAATATAGTGGTGAAAATGCGATTTGAAATTCAAATATATTTTATAGGAACCATAAACAAAAATAAGCTTTCTTTTGGTCAATCAATAGAGCATCACGTCTTCTTTATATTTTATCCTTAAGGAAGGAGTATAATTAGGTTTTAAAAAAGTTTCCAATTATGAGACTTTTTAAGACCGCGATATGTCCATTCACATAGCATCGTACCTGGCCGTTTACCACTGTTCCTCATGAAATTTACAACATGGTGCGCCTCCATTGCAAAATTTTATGGACCCTGTATGATATCTCTTTAATGACACAGAAGAATATGGGATTTTCTTTATGCGAAACGCATGCGCCTTGTAGAGTGTAATCACTAAGCGCTAATGCAACGAATGATCAGACTCCAAATTTTCGGCAATTAGAAAACTTTTTTAAAACCTAATTATACTCCTTCCTTAAGGATAAAATATAAAGAAGACGTGATGCTCTATTGATTGACTAAAAGAAAGCTTATTTTTGTTTATGGTTCCTATAAAACATATTTGAATTTCCAAGACCATCTAAAATCAATGGGGAAAATGCATGCTACTTAAGTAGTCATTTTTTACCGAGCACGCTTTTTACAGGAGATTAAAAAGAGGTGCATTTAAAAGCCGACATCCTGCCAAGTCCAAAATGTTATAACAGCATGCCTTAAGATAATCAGTATCACAACCGCGACCAAGTAATCCTTCCTAATCGAAAACGCATTTCAGAATTTCAGCCAACATTTCATGAGATAGGTCACGCACTGTAGAATCTTCATACACGCCTTTGTGGTTTCTGCAGAGTACAAACGCCGCTACATGTGATTGCGACATTCCAGATTCCTTCGAAGAAGTAGGATTTGCACAGTTCTTTCTCCCATGAGATGAGTCTATGAGCATCTACTTCTGGTATCAAATGTATGACAGTATCTAAGTTAACCCACAATACCGAATAATCCCTACAATGATGTAATAATAACTCTATTACTTAGACAATACAGGACCCAATCCATATGCTATTATACAAAACCGACGAATATCGTTAGTCTGAATTTCTTGAATGGTTTATGTTAAAGTAACTAGGATAAAGAAAATGCGATAAAAATGTATTTTGATATTTCAATAACCGCCTCCTAAGTCCACGGTTCGGAGCAGGCAGCTCCTGAATATTTGACTAAGGAAAAAGGAGGAGATACTCTGGACAGCATTGTAGCCATCTGAAATTCCTAGCTGTTCCAGTTTTTATCCCCTCTTCCCTATCATACTCTCCTTCAATACCCTCAATATCTACTAAAACATAAAAAGTGTGCCGGCATTTCCAGACCTCCGTCAAAGGAGTCGACTAGAATCAAAGTGTTTTAACAGTTGTATTGATTTCGGTTTATGCAATTTCATGGACTTGTGAATATTTTGATCTAGTATGTGCGCTTTGATCTCGTGCTAATTCCTCATTTTACTTCACATTTACCAGAGCGAAAAAATTGGACGGTTGTTGCCCCATTCTTCGAAACGCCATATAACATTCTGCGTTAGCGTGCAAAATGTAATTCCTGGCGTACGACAACCTGTCATGAGTTAAACTCAACACCACTAAATGCTTGGTTTGAGAACTCCGAGTTTTGTCTTTTGTCTCTGTGCACGGATTTGATGAATGAAAAACTCACCCGAGGTGACAGGGTTATTTCAAAAATGGACGTGGCATTTTTACAAAAACGTGTGTCCACAAAAGCTGACATATTGATGGAAGTCCAGTTAGAGCAGTACGACATGCGCTAAAGCATAGTTTCAACTAGTGGTGGAAATACGTCGATTCTGCTTACATATTTCGTGATGTTTCACTGGAACGCGTAGAGACACATAATTGCCTTACACCCTAAGACTACTTGGGAAAGTTACGTGCGAAAAGGGATTTTTTAACGTTCTTAGGGTTAAAGGTATTTCAATTAAATGAATATATGACGATTTGGACCGAACCGCCAAATCCTATTCCGATGGACTTAGTTAACATATATCCACTAATTTATGGTGTAATTACTGGCCGTTCATTACTTCCAACCATTGTTGTCATTACTGCAATCATGCTTCCCGATTTCTACACAATTAAGTTTAAGTCATGAGCGGATGCTGAGTAACGTTATAGACACCCTCCATATGTCGGAAATTAAAAGTAAAAGTCGTTTTAAGGAACATTATTCCAGTTTTCTGAAGTTTTTATCCCAACCAAGCATGTTTTCCTCTCGTTAGCTTCAATTTTACCTGTTCAGTCAACCATAAGCTCTTTCATGGGAGAGATAACTGTTCACACTGTGTTCGCAACGTGTTTACACAGCGAACGAATTATGGTTTCGAAGAAATCTACACTCGTCTGCTAGTGCTGTTAATCAACATTGACAAAGACCGGTTGTCTTGCATCAAATAACAGTTGCCTGGTCTATATTCGCTGCTGTTTACTGCGGGCTCGCATCCAACAGCAACGTCTGTCCGCCCAGCATTCTTATCCACCAGATAAATTAACTTTAGAGATCTAGTGGTCGAAGTTCCATGTTTTTTTTCTGATGTCAAATGGTGCAAATACAGAAAATATTTCATTGAATAGACCCGGGTTTTTTCCGATGTTTGGCGTGGGATTGCACCAAGCGGCAATTTATTTTCACTCAGCGCGCTCATCCATCCTGATTTGCCACTGAGGTTTCTTACTCGGGAGGACGGGACAATTGCTGCACTGTGTGAACCTTACCGAAGTTATTGCTGCTTAGAACGGTTGTTTTCACATATACTGCTTCACAGAATGATTTGCGTTTGAGGTGCAACCGCATCGGTCGGTTAATTCTAAAAGCATAGGCAATGCTTCGCGAGGTATCTGGCTGTTTCACCGTGACCTCAGTGGTGACGACAAAATATCTTCACGGCACAAGTGTGAGTTCGATACAGACATTCACATGGGCTTCTTTTAGGCCTCTGCGACTGCCTTTTGGGCTTATCCAAAATCGTGACGATTCAGTTCTGCCAAGCGATAAATTTTGTCGTAATGGTTGTCTATTGACATTCGGATGAGCGTTTGATGAATGAACATCCGTTGTCTATACTCCGACCACTAATGTAGGAGAACGTGCACTTGGACATCAAGTGGTATACAGTTGTCTAGATTTTTCGCCTTATTTATAGCCTTTTGGGACATGCGCCCCTCTGTTTACTTTTATTACTTTGTCTTAAGAAGATCTCAGTTACTTCATAAAGTTTATCCATTTTTAAGATTATCAATATGAAGATTTCGTTAGCCACCGGAAATTGCAACCAATCAACGAGCGGGCCTTGTGGATTAGCGTCGACCTGCCTGGGCAGGGAGATGGTGAGGAGGAACTACCGGCATCGTAAGTTCAGTTTATTTCGTTATCCAGCTTTTGGTTAAACTGTACTGTCAAACGTTATATGTGCGAATTCTGTGGACACCTCTGCACTTTTGGCATTGGACACATCTCAACAATACGCGTGTTTTAGTTGCCTGTTGCCTGTCAGTTAAAAAATATAACGGAAATGCTTTGGGAATCCTTGAAACTACGTAACGCATTTAAGCATTTCACCTCCAAATCACGTAAACAGGAAGAAACAGTTCTGAAACTCTCGTGATATATATATATAGGCTGGAAAACGGGCATCCCAAGAAATTTAATTAAAAATAAGTAAGATTCTTTGGGAAGGGAATAAACTTTAATGACTAAATTTTCGAGTCTTGTTCCCCAGCTCGTCGTCAGACTTTTGGGCAATGTACAAAAACAGTTAACTATTTAACCGTGTCAAACAAGTGATTCTATGGTTGGCCGAAGCCTGCGCCAATGCTCGTCAACGATTTCGTCATCCCCTCGGCATTGGCTGCGCTCGCTTCCATTTGTCCTTGAGAAATTTGTATGTGGCATCTAGATCGATATGCCGATTGATGCATGCCTCATCTGAGTGCTTCCAGGAATTCGCGACCTTTCCTTATTGGGCAGGCGCTAACAATGCGGGTGTTCTCCCATGCAAATTTGTGTCCAGTGTCCAGTGTGTGCATAGCCACCTGGGATAAATGATCTCGTCTCCTCACCGCTAACTGATGCTCATGTATGCGGGTAGAGGCGGATTTCCCAGATTGCGTACACAGCTTGTACACCCTAAGGACAGGGTTGGCTATCTTGATAGGAAAGGTGTTGTCTACAAGATGCCATGTTCCAGTTGTGATGCCGTGTATTGTGTTTATATATATATATAATATGAAAGATTGGATTTGTATATTTCGCCACTTTGGACTTAAATTCGGCAAGTATATCAATCTCTTAATGGAGGAAACCCACTTTTAGAATAGAACTGCATGTACCCAAGCTCGAAAGAACAAATATTCTGTAATTTGTTATCCACATGTTGCCGCAAGGAAACATGAGCTACGGCACCTTGCTCAATTCCACTAAGGTGGTAGTCTGGAATCGTTGCACCTACTAAAACTCACATGTATAGGACTCATGTTAATGAGATCAAAGAAAGCACTCACATGTAACGGACGTCCTATAATGACAGTTCAGCCGCCGTTACCGACGATGTCCAGCGTGTGCCTCACAGTAAGGTACTAACAAGCACGGTTACGGTGGTAGTAGACTTTTGTACCATCTACTGTAGTCACTTTTTCTCCCGCCTGAGCCCGGTGTCAAGACACAATCAAGAAGACGGAAAACGGGAAAGTAGGCGGGTGGCTGGCACGTCAACATCCGCGCCTGGCGTGTCATCACACCCCTTTGGTTCACAACAAACACTTGACCAAGATTTTAACAAACAACAAAAATGGGTCAAAAAATGAGCACAAAGGCATTTGCAGGCAGGCAATCGGATGCCATTTAATTGCCAGCGCACACCAAACTGCAAGGACAATACTTTGCCGAAATGTCGCAAAGTATATGCACACAATCTAGGTCATATACTCTCGGACAATATGCGCAAATAAAAGACGGGCTTTAGGGACAAAAGGAATTTAAAATCCACCTTTCCTAGGCCAAAAGCGATAGTCGAAACTGCACACTTCTAATAACATTTCATTTAGTACTTAGTACCTAAGCAGAACTACCTTTTCATCACCGCTCAATAGAACTGTTGCATTTGAGTGACGGTTTTTCTGTGTACTGCCTATGCAAGTTTTGCTAGCAACAGTAATTCCTATGGGTCCTTTGTTTTGAACGTCAACTCTTTGGACAAACTTGCGTTCGATTACTTCAACTCTTTAACTGCCGTTTAAAATCCTACACGCTGACCATTTGAACGTGCATCGCTGTCTTAATTTAGGACAGAGATCCGAAAGCTATGAAAACACTGTTTTCGTGAATTTGGCCTGTAAGTCCAATTTGGCCGTGGCCTAGTGGCCAGTCAATAGTAGTGAAAATGCGATTCCCCGGTGGCATATGAAACGAGGAAGAGGCGTTCACCGGGAGGGGTTTATTGGAAGTCCGACGTTCCGAGTAGTTGAGTCATCTACCCATCTTCAGGGACTGGGAAGTCCTGCACTCTGTTCAATGCGTGACCCACCAATGCCGCCTATGTGGCTGCATCCAACCCCCGTGTCACTGTGACCTGAATCGCCCCCGTCGGCCGCGGAGATGACTGACGGCCCCGGTTGTCCCGAGCCGTGACTGTCCCCCGTTAAGAAGGTTCTTAAAGTCAGATAGGGGGGAGGCAAATTGATGTGGCGGTTGACGGAGCCGTCGGTGGACATCCAGGCTTCTTGCACTTGCTTGCTGTGTGATCACCGCCCCAACCCACAATCTCAACGGCGTCAAAGTTGAAGATGTGTCCCATTTGCGCGGCATGGGTTGCTACCTCCGACTTTGGGTCCAACCTTCTCAGGGCCAACTTATGGCTCAACAATCCGCCGGCAAGTGATGCGGCCAAAAGATCCGATCCCTAAGTAGGAGATGTCGGCCGTTGTCCACCGACTTCAATGCAGCTACGGAAGGTGCAACTACTTTGGGAAACCGGCGGACGGCTGCAAACGCGAATGCACGAGCATAAGTTGGCTGTGTGAAGGTTGGACCCAAAGTCGGAGGTAGCAACCCATGCCGCACAAATGGGACACATCCTCAACTCTGACGCCGTTGAGATTGTGGGCGGGGGGAGGACGATGATCATCAAAGCCGTATACTCTCGGACACTATGAGCGAATAAAAGACAGGCTTTAGGGACAAAATGTATTTAAAATCCACCTTTCCTAGGCCAAAAGCGATAGTCTAAGCTGCAGACTTCTAAAAACATTTTATCTAGTACTTGGCACCTAATCATAACTACCTTTTCATCACCGCTCAATAGAACTGTTGAATTCGAGTGACGGCTTTTCTGTGTACTGCCTATGCAAGTTTTGCTAGCAACAGTAATTCCTATGGGTCCTTTGTTTTGAACGTCAACTCTTTGGACAAACTTGCGTTCGATTACTTCAACTCTTTAACTGCCGTTTAAAATCCTACACGCTGACCATTTGAACGTGCATCGCTGTCTTAATTTAGGACAGAGATCCGAAAGCTATGAAAACACTGTTTTCGTGAATTTGGCCTGTAAGCCTAATTTGGCCTTGGCCTAGTGGCAAGTATTTTGGCTGATTCAGCAACCATCAGCCACCACCAAATCACACATTCTGCCAAGGCTCCCGAATGAGCACAATCCTGCTTTCTTAGAAATTGAATGGGTTGCCCATATCTTTTTTACTTTTGGGAAAATTCTTTAAATATACACCAGCTAAGAATTTAGTCACGAGACAGTGAATGCGAAGTAGTAGTAAAGAAATCAAAAGCCATAGATTGGTCATTTTGGGAAACCAAGCAACAAAATACGGTAAGGGTGCTGTCTCAGAGAATGTTAGCCGGTATCATCGGATGTGCTTTCGATTCAAAAACTTTACTTAACTAGGGTTGTAATAATAGTTATCTTGCAGGAGAATCCTAATATGTTTGCGTCGCATCAGAGTGCCGTTTATTTGAACAAATTCTATTCAAATGCCTTCGGAAACTGCACTCAATAAAAATGTCTCTTTATGTAGTGTAAATCTTTCTTACTGGTTTCCGGTGTTCCATGAATTCGGGTATTTTTTATGCAAATATTTTTCACTATATCCATTAAAGATCATACTACGTCAACTTTAAATTTTATTCTTAAGGAAAGGGTGTCGTCTGGACTCCCAACAAGTTTGAACCTGACCCACCGTTACACTTAAATTCACGGTTTCCTAACTTTACGCCGTGCATTTTCTCATAAATATAATTATTTATTTCCAAACCTTGTTAAAAAGATGTCATATTGGGATTATTCAGGTTTTCAATTGATGTGGATTATGCTTATATTTTTAAAGAATTTTAATAGGTGGGCATTTGCGATGATCTATGAATGTACATGTCACGGTCTTAAAAATCTGATAGTTGGGAATCTTTTGGAACGGTAAAATGTCCCCTCTTCGAGTATACTACTTACAAAAGACGCTATTTGCCACAAAAGACTTCAAAGTGTCTGCTTATTTTAGTTGATCGAGGGTCAGTTCTGCAAAGGAACTCGAGAATAAAAATAACTACAACATTTTTAAAAATTTTAAAAACGATTTCTTTCACAATTGCGCATAGGTTTTCACGGAAAAGAGTTAGGTCTACGATCGGATTCTAAATCTGTCGAACATCATAGTTTTCTTTTTTTCCAGCCTAGTGACGTTGAGGACCTACCTCTGCGAAAACGTTTCCGTGACTGATCTGTTATCCACAACAGACCCACCCGCTGGTTTCAGTTTTAATGTTTTATTGCACTGTCGAAGTCTGAAGAGACTAAAGCAAAGTTTTTTCCCGAAACATTTGGCAATCAAAAAACTTTATCGAAACAGTTGAGAAAGGCTGCTTGCTTTATGCACAACCTGAGAACGTCTTAAGGTAGATTTTTTCTTAGCCCAAGTGATTCACTTTGGAATTGTACCCAATGGCATCTGAGCTTCTTTAACTGGCAAACTATGTCAAAGATTGACCTGTGTTGATTTTATGAAATGGTCAAATTTTGAATAGTAACTACCAGTTTACTTTATGTGATAAGTATACGTCAGCACCTACCTTACCTGTACTTGGTACGGCTGCGATCATGCCCGTTCCAGCCGGCTTCAGTGACGTCCCGAACTGTACTTCTCCACGTATGACGACCCGCGACAGCGGGTCCGGACAGTTCAACCCATTCTCTTCGCCAACGACGGAGACTGCATACCGAAGGTCTGAGAACAACTTTCGTGTTTTTGCTAACTGTGTCGCTCGAGCTTTTGAGTTGACCCCCACTTTGACGCCTGACTTTGGGCAGCAGTGTCGGATCGAGGGCAGGAGCATTGAGCTCCTGATTTGGACGACGATGAACGTGCCCAAATCACCTCCGTCGCCTTTCTTGGTTGGCCTGGGTTATTCTTGCGATGTCGTTGCTGGGAGTGCGGTCTGTCTCATTTGAGACAGAGTCGGTTTACTTCACTCAAAAGGATAGTCCTCAAGCAGTGATGGTCAAATGTCTCCATTCTTATTTTGTCCTCCACGCGCAAAGCCGAGCATTCACAACCAGAGAGTAGGAAAACCGGACAGATGCATGGTACGCGCGAATTTTGGATGGCGATGAGATGTCGCGACTAATCTATATGCCCTTCCTAAGGCTTGAGAAAACCCGGCGTGTAACATCGATTCGGCAGACAATGTTGTTCTTACTCTGTCCGTTCGGCAGCACCCTCGGCTCGATATAGTAAAAAACTGTCTACTTCTTCAAGGTGATAGTCGTCAATCTCGAGAGTTGTCTTTTCCTGGTCAGGGATCTAGCTTGAAAACACTTTGGTCTCTCTAACGTTTCTGGGCAAGCCAACCAATTTAGCGATAGCGTCCACCCGCAACACCGTAGACTGCAGATCACCAAAATTTGAAGCTGCTAAGGGAGTAGCATCGGCATAGTCGAGATCACTCAGTCAGCGCCCGGACGCAAACTCATTTTTGTGTAGTGTCCTCCCGAGAATCTAGTCAATAGCGTAGTTGAACAAAATGGATGAGAGGATGCAACCTTGTCGAACTCCACTGTGAATACCGGACGCTTGAAAAAGATTGTTATGGGTCAGAACTCGCGCAGTAGTGGAGCGGCAATAGACCTTGATCATGACGACGAGTTCTGGCGGCACACTATCTTCTGTCATTATTTACCACAGGGCCCACAATGGATGGAATCTAACGTGGAAAAAAAGTCAACAAAACAGACGGTCTTCGGTTGTTGCCAGCTATGGTGGAATTCAAAAATGCGTCTCAGTGTTAATATCCTGTCTGCGCATCCACGCACAGCAGGAAATCCGGCTTGGTTGGGCCTCGTCTTAGAGTCACACAGAGCCTGGAATCGCTTGAGTAGAACAATAGCGAAGATCTTCGCAGCAACGTCGATGGTACTTATGCCGTAGCAATTCTCGCATCTTGCCTTATCTTCCTTTCGAAGGACAGGCAGAAGGATGCCCGAACCCCAGTCATTAGGAACAAAGTCGTCTTCGCACGCTTATTCAGTCACCTGATGGGGCTGGGACGCCAGGGTGTTGACACAGGGCTCGTGGATTTCAGCGGGTAAACCGTCCTCTCTGGTTGTCTTGTTGTTATGTAACCCCTGTATGGCATCGGCAGTTTCTTCAGAAGGGGTCGCATGACACTGCATAGGTTGGAGAGGGAGGATAATCCGCTGCTGAGGAGAGCACGGTTGTGGTGACTGGGTATTGAAGTTGAGAGGGTGCTCGAGGTGCTCACGCCAGTGCTCGACCTTGGCCCAGTTTTCACCAATAAGGCCATCATTCAAGTCGTGAACAGGGTCACCCAGTGCAGAGGGCTTACCACTAACATAGCGGACAAACTAGGAGAGTTTTTGATTGTCACAAACTTTCGAGGCCTGCCTCATGCAAGTAGCTACTTCAGTCCAATATTTGTTTCGGTCATCCATGGCCGACTTTTTTGTCACTTCCCGGGGTTGGCGAAAGGAATCATCATTATGCTACCTGACTCGAACCGTCTGAGCAGAAAACTGCAGAGTTCTTCCATTGATCCAGTTGCTGCGACGTCGTTGGGTATATCCAAAAATTTTCTCAGTTGCCCCATATATTGATGTTTTTAGTGACAACCACTAATTGCTGTAGTCTTCGCCGATTCTGGTCGTATAAAACGACGGAATTTTCTACTCCGGGCTTCGGCAGTCCTGGGTCGTCGTATTTTTGTGACATCGAGGCGTCTAGCACGTGACATTTTGGGCATGAATGAGCGGTCAACCTTGAAGTGCGTACGAGCGAGGACATGGTCTGACCCATGGGAGTAACCAGTTTCGGCACGATTCCTAAAATTCCCAACCACACTCGAAAGGGCATGTTTCCGTAGCCTACTGTAAGAGCGTTCGACCTGCATTCGCACTGATCTCCTGACTAATTTACGTCGCAGGTCTTGTTGGCGCAAAGTTTTGGTTAGAAATGAATGATAGTAAATAAGCCAGCGATGATTATTCCATTTTGTGGTGTCGTTAGAATGATTATTGTTCATTTTTGACCGTAAGAATCGTATAATCAAGTCGCGCTGCACTGAAATAGTACATTTTGACTTGGCAACTCAGAAAATGAATCCTTCTGTCCTGTTTCTAGTCCTTTTTGAGGGTATTGGTAGGCAGCGTAATCTTGGACAAATTGTCATCTTTTTTAATCCTAAAACATGTTGGATGCAAGCAAGCCAGTAGGTTCTTATGGATTCAATTGACATTCCATTGTAGATTTTTCACTTAAGCGGCCTAAAATTGAATTCAATTTTGAGCTTTCACTTACTAAACCCACTATCGTGCTGCCTTATTACATATAGTATGTATTATAAAACACCCAATTGTCCCGACTTTTCATGACATTCTGCTTAGTCGCTGTAAGTTCAAACCTTATTAGTTGAATTTAGTACGAAAGCATCATAAGTAAAAATATTACTACAGGGTCTGCTGCGTAAGTTGCGACTGTAAACTTTCTGATGTATTGTCGAACATTTAAATCGCCAGTTTCGATTCATCTCTCCTAACATTACGGTTATAGCCCTCGTACAAGAACCATTATTTATCACTCGTGACATCCTGTAAAAATACCGCTTTAAGCATAGTATCTGGGAGACTGGCGTGGAATCTTTATTATTTTCGCCTAAGGAGTTCAGATTTTTATTTTTCTAGTTCGTTAGTTTGGTTTCTATCATGCAATAGGCCCCAATTATGAAATGCACTAATACCCCCATGAAATATTGATAAGTTCACGAAAAATAAACAAGGAGCCGGAAACCGACCCAAATGCTTCGTATAAATTTTTTGATAAACTGTATGCACAAGAGGAAGTATTCGTTGGTTAGAACTGATGTTTTTTTGAAGATGTAAAATGTCGCAATCGCGGGAGTTCGTTTTCAATAAGTAAGCATGATCGTGGAAGTGCACAGTCCTTTTCTATCCAAAAGAGGAGTAAATAAAGTAGCGTGAGCACAGCAGGATTTAAAAGGCGCTTTGAGGTAATCCTCTGGCCGAGCGTTCTCCCAGGATTAGTGGATTCCACGGTATGACGGCCAGTCGATCCTCTTGCCCTTACCAACTTCCAGCAAAACGTTGTTAGGAATTTTCGATGTACTTTCACATTTTCATGTCGTCCGAGGTGCCGTTGAAAGGAATTTTCTTAATTTCGCAGGTAAGAGGCTTCGAGATGTTGTCACATATTGAATCCTGAGCGGTGATAACTAATTGCGACTAAAGTCAGCAGATATGCTGTTTCCTGCGTATGGGGATAAACGCCCTTCCGAAAAATTACTGAATACTTTCTTGTGACAGGTACAATCTAATATATCTCCTTGATTTCATTAACTTGAACGGGGCCATTTATCAAAAAATACGCGCATACATCTATATGCGTTTTAAAACATATTCAGAATATAAAGTAAAGTTAGCTTACGGTTAAGGACTACATTTTTTGCCTGAATAAATACAGTAGCAACATTCTGTGTGGTCTTTAACGTAACGCGCCCGACTACGTATTAAACTAAACAGCGTTCCATTGATACCAGAAGGTTCATTTTGATTTCGCTTAACACGTTTTGCTGGCTCGGTTGCCCGCTGATCATGTTTGCCTGGGGCTTTTAGGGTCTTCAAATTCTAATACCAGATCGTATCAAGTTTCTGTCAAGTTGAGTGGCACAGATTAGTGTGAGCCTTTCTTTGTGCACTGTGAGTGATCTGCTGGTGTTTTAAGATGAGCAGTTGCATATTTGTATAATTGTTGACGATAGAATTAGATCTTAAAAACCTAAGGTCCAATCTCAAAAGTAAACAGGACCTAAGGAAATCACTCTTCAGAAAAATACTTGCTTTGTACTTATCTCTTATTGGTGCACGATTAGTTCAACTTGGACACGGTATATCAAGTCATTTTAAGTTGGTGTAGGTTGGATAAAGACTACGATCATGTAAGGGCCACTGTCTAAGACTCCGGACAAATAATTGCTCTAAGCAATCAGCGAAATTCAGTAGGCAAATGCTTGGTCATGCATATACATCATTATACTTTTGGATTTTGCTTGAAACATAAGCAGCCACTTAATGATAGCAAAAATGCGAGTCTCCAGTGACAAATCATAAGAAATAGGGGCGTTCAATTGGAGAGGTTATTTGCGGTCGGACGTTTTAAGTAACCATTTTGACTCCTTCTATTAGCAAAAACAATTTTGCAGTTTCATTTTTCGCTCTACAGGTAACAACGAAACCCGACAAATTGTCTATATAGAGATATTTCCTCATCTCTTGGAATTGAACCATCTAGTCGTGGGACACTTATGTGGATTTAATACTTCATTATTAGCTTTTAAGTTAAAAACTGCTTTACAGTCCCCCAAAAACCATGAATTCAATAATAAATCCCACCTTTCACTTATATCATCATCAATGCAATTTTGGCCTGCTAATAATGGTTCACATCATATGTTTGCTAAAAGTTCACCAGGTTTTTGTCAAGACGAACTGACTGTTGATATTGCGCAGCCAGTTGCCCTGCTCCATTCTTCTGCCATTAACACATGCCAAAGGGTCAGCATCTCATCGCCATCGACAGAAAGGAGTTCAAGGGAGCTGTTGAGTAAAAAGATCCAGTCGCTGTAACAAGAAAGTTATTGGTCTGACTTTTGGGATTCTCACTCTTGTCTGTCATGAATCAGTCGCAGATAAGAGTCATGGAGGCTTAAGTAAAGCAGTAATAATGAGGGAGGGGCAGTTAACATGCCATCACGTCTTTTATTAGCAGTATCCGCTCTCAAGATAGGGGTCGTATTTAGTGCAATGATTGCATGTTAGTTCGCAACTCACTCGTTAATTGCCGCAATCTCATAAACGCTGTTGATTCTTTCCGTGATAATTACCCGGCAATTTGTCCCGCTGTCACTGGATAGCCGGACATACGGCAGCACTTAGGAGGAAGGACGCCAGCTGTTAGGTCGCGGCTCTTAATACGGGACCCATCTGTACCCTCGAGTCTGACGAGGCTGAATTTCTAGTTAGAGATGACAACTGCATGAGCCGCAGGATGCTTGGGTCACGGTCCTCCGGCCCACAATCGATTAACAAACGCATCGATCTCCCGACCCCATATTCTGTGTTAAGACTGTCTGGGCAAAGCTATGGGCCACATAGAGAGAGCGCAGGCGGCCGACATTTTCAGTGACAGCGAGTCAGCCTTTTCAGTAGTTATCCCGCCATGATTCAGTAACGTGGATGAAATTACGGCTATTAATGCCTTGATTGCGGACTAGCAAGCGATGAACGCAGGTGCTGTTAACTACGCAGGCTGTGGTTGCAGGACAACGGTGTCTTGTATAACCATTACACTCCTTGCGTCTCCATCACCCTTATCTCAGACCGTCTCAGGTAATTGGTTCGAGTGAGAACCCGAAGCGCCAAATGATATACTTCTTATTCCAACGCTTGCAGCTCCTCTTGAACCTTATCATTATTCATCTGCAAAAAATTAAGGTAAATAGTTTTACATGTTTTCACTGCACTGAACAGTTTACAACGATTTCCAATAAGATTTCTTTTTAAAGCGAGTCGGGTCTGGCACTCGAACAGCTATGAATAAATCAAATGCAAAAGTGTTCGCCTTTGTAACCAATGATTTGGGGCCATGGATACCTAGGTAATGCAAAACGTTCAGTGTTTAGCCTTTAAAGGTCTTGGCATATTTTCATGGACAAAAAGTAAAATTGAACAAAATTTAGCAACTACGATGCAAACAGACTGAAGTTTTCATTTTCGGTTTATCTGTCGTCAAAGGTCTCCCACAGACTAAAAGGACTGAGAATTTGAACGTTCTATCGGATGAGGCACGGATTTTCATAAATTTGGCCGAGATCGGTATTCCCCAAATGACGCGGCGATAGCATTTTTCCGATCTGGCCCATATAAGAGGACTCTAGACACGTACCCAAAGATCGAAGGAAGCTTACACATTCCGTTATGCGAAAATCATATAATAACGATCATCGGGAACAATTCCACATACACGCGTTTCTCTAATTCCATAATTGAGATACAGATGGCAGCTGAGACCAGACGCAGAATTCTCCGGCGTAAATAATTTTTTGCTTTCTGTGAAATGACTGGATATTTTACGATTTGTAAATTTATTTAGCCCACTGGAGGATAAATTGTAAAATTTATTCTGCATGCTTTTATCATAATTACGAATTAGCAAGAAGCTTCTTACGCATTTACACAACTATTGGAGAAGTGAATCAGAATATCGCTCTTTTCTTTTAACCTACGCGCATATCAAAATTATCGTACGTCTTCCTCGCCCGTTTTGTCAGAAACAATCCTAAAAAAATAGCCAGACAAACCTGTTTTGAAAACCATAAGGTTTTCTGGCTCATACTTCATGTTTTGATGCTGCTTTCTATTTTATAGCATACAGTCTATCTTTGGTTGAGTGGTATCGCTTCAAACACTGCAGCCACCAGCTTTTCCGTTCATCCAAGTACTAGCGTCTCATATCTGACTCCGGATCTACCCCTTCCGACCCTTTTGCAGAATGCATCCCTCTGTAGTTTATAACGGTTACATCTGATTGAAAAGAAGAACGTGATCACGCTAAGCGACTGCAATCTTCACTTTGGCGCGCGCTTTTTCCCAAGTCGGCGCCGTTTCTGATTGAATGCCACCGTTTTATTTCTATGCAATTAGCAGGCGCACAAATACTTTTTGAAAAAATCTGTCAGTCGACGTGGCGAAATGATGAATCTACCTATCCTAAAGAACCTTTTTTCTTTGTTTTCATCGGAATCCGTTTTTTAATGTCGGTTATATTATTAAAATTCCTGAGGTGTCCTATTAAAGTTTGACATTTTTCGTATAACGAACAGAGCCCAGGTACTCTTTACGTATGGGTTGCCGGCAGTTTAGGGTGTCTGCGAAACTTTGCTTCTATATTGTAAAACCTTTGGGATGTCCTTTTCTGAGGCAAACTCCTGACGTTGATTTAGAAGTCAAGAATTCTGATAAAACGAAAGTTTTGCATTATCTATATAATTACCTATTATCTAGTCACTGCATTGCTCATGAAGGCGAGCTAATAGCTTTCTACGGAGAGCAGACGTATTAATCAGGCACTGGTTTAGAGTTCTGATATCTTGCAGAAAATATGAGCTCGTTGACTGTCGATTGCCGACGTCACTATATTAGTTAACTAATCCACGTCCGGGCTGTGTGCGCCTGTTCTGAACTTTTCGATTTAGATGGCACATTGAATAGATCAATGAGACGGGTGGAGGTCGGATTTTGACTCTTCGGCGGTCATAGCGCCTTATAACAAGTGCCTGACAGCTAGAATGACCGAAGTCAAGACAAGCTGACATGACCTCCTGGAGCTTACAGTAGGTGGGCTAACTCATGAAATGTTAACCTAAATTCCGAAATGCGTTTTCGTTTCGAAAAGATAAATTAAGTAGGCTTGTAAAACTAGCCAATCTGCCGTATAATTCGATAATAATATATTTGTCTCGGGATGCCGGCTTTCGAAAGAACCTCCTTCCGGCTGCACGCAAAAACTCTGTAAAAAATGACTACTTATGTAGCATTAATTTTTCACTTGGACTTTCCATGCCCCCAAATTTCCAATCATATTTCATGGAAAGCATGCATAAAACGATTCATTCATTTGCTCATTCGGTAGAAAATTACGTCTTCTTCCAACCTTTTACTCGAAGGAACAGTATAATTCGGCTTTCAAAAGCGTTTCCAATTCCTGAATAATTTTCAGCCCGCTCTGCCGTCACACTTTCGTTCAGGGTTTCCAACCTACAAGCCGTATAATTTCCGCGTAAGAAAAACCACACTCTTCAACGGTAGTAAGAGGAGACCATATGCGGTTTATAAAATTTGGCATTGGATTTGATCCATAGAGTTAACTTTACGAGCCACATTGATAAATGCAGAGACATGACGTTTTATGAACGGCCATTTCATGGTATTAAAAAGTCATACAATAGAAAACTTTTTAAAACCTACTTATGTCCCTCCTTCGAGTATAAAATTATAAGAAGACGTAATTATGTACCGAATGAGTGGAAGAATAAATATTTTATGCGTGTTTTCTATGAACTATAATTGGACATTTAGGGTCATCGAAAATCAATGAGAAAACTGCATGCTGCATAAGTATTCATTTTTACAGGGTATAGTTTTTGCATGCAGTCGAATTGAAGTGTTTTCCAAAGCCGGTATCCTGAAGTAACTGAATTATTATAGAATTATACTGCAGGCTGATTAGTTTTACAGCCCTAATTAATTAATCTTTTCGAAGCGAAGACGCATTTCGGAATTTCAGTTGACATTTCATGAGTTAGCCTACCTACTGTACAGCTTTCCGAGCCGAACCACAACTTTTGGAATTCCTGGAAAATCATTGCCAATATCCGAATGTATTTACGCCGTGCATGCTTTCGTAATTTAAAATGAGACACTAACATTTGAGAAATATTAACATGTGCGAACTTTATTACGAAATGGCTTTTATAAATGCCTTAAACAATTTCCCTCTGCTGATCCAAGCGATCGACTCTCTTTCCTCGGAGCTAGACCGTGTTCGGTTTTTTATTTAAAAATGCCTAAAGTGTAGCATAAGTGGCGGCTGGGCATCGAGGAGAGCACTTGCTGACGCTCGCAGTTGGTGAGGTCGCTGTTCACTTCGATCCATTAAGTGAGGAAAACATTTTTTAATTATACACTTCCCTGGTATATTCACATGAGGAATTCATTCACTCTCATTTAAGTCCGAAGTTAACACGTTCCTCCTCAGTTCGACAGGTCACTGAAGAATGCGTACTGTACAGATACGTTTCAGGACTGGGGCAGAAATTTTATGACTAGATTGTACCCTCTCACACATGCGGCAAAATACCCATGAAAGTGGTTTGCAAACTTGCTGTGTGTTATTCTGCAGACGTAGCTATGATTGCAATTTATATTCTTTCAGAAACACAGTGGTTCAAAACGCTTTCAAGGGCAGAATTATCATTCTATTTTATTTACAGGTGTTGTACCTTTCCTATGGGAGAGTCTGTTCATATTACAGAATTTCCGTGACAAACGTTAGACGTATCCGTATATGATTAGCAATGAGAAGAAGAAAGTTGTGAATTTTTGTGATATTTTTGGACGTAAAATGTAATTTCATTGAAGATTATACTGTTTTGGTCGAAGTATATACGAAAACAAAAGGTCTTTCGATGAGCAAACTGGCAGATATCCCGGTGTTTGAATTTGCATGTGCATTATTATATTAAAAATTGATGGAGCAGGGAATTTGGCCAGAAAGTTGGATATTTCATGTGTGCCTGATCGCCTGTCATTTGTAAAAACTTTCTCATGTGCATTTTATTTTGTTTACTTCCTCGCTTAGGAAATTTTCATCGTAGCTACAAACGTTAGTTTGCGGAGCTTCGAAGGACAATTTTTTGTTTCGTATATACGATCTTCCAGTCGTTCTTTATTCGCTTTGTATATTTTCTACTTTTTCATCACGTAAAATGCAGTTGACGAACTCAGACAGTTATGCTGCGTTTCCCTTTAATACAAATATGCTGTCGCACATAACGGCCACCTGCGATTCGCCTATGAGTGCTCTGGCTCGGAAGCTACTTTTCACGCACAAACACACATCTATTTCTACCAGGTAACATTTTGGGTTAAGGCAATCACTTAAAACAACATAAGAGGGCTAGTAACTGACATACGTTTGCATTTGACCCTTTTCCCTGATTGTTCTTCTCGTGTGATGCTAATGGACTTATGTGTGCGCTTCAAATCTCAGAATATTGCGCGTTTTGATGCTTAACGTTGGCATGCAAATTTGAGGTACAGTTTGTAAAAAACTGATATGACACATGAACTTAAATGATTGATGACTCGTAAGAATGTTTCACAAGGTTTGCTAGGCCATAGTTACCTCACAGGAAATGCCTTGTATCAGCATACATCCTTACTCACTTGGTTTATTCCAAACTTAGGGAAGGCCAGACGCTCACAAACGCTGTTGGTACTTTAATGTAACTCTAGTTCTTTATTCAAATTAAGTAAGCGACCTAGCAAACGATTTGCAATGAGACCTTTAATTGTTCAGCATTTCCTAGCAACCGGGAAACAACAAACTGCAAGTTGCGTTGGCTGAGTTTTCAATGACCTTTGTCAAAACAAAAGCGGTCTGCCATTGTCAAACTTAGTGAAAACAGGCCATAAAATACAAAAGGTAATTCTATCCTCCATGGGCTCAAGTAAAGGGAAGCCATTATGGCCTTGGAGGGATGGAAAATGTTGCAAAACTCCAGCGATTTGAGGATCAGATAAATTGTTGTTTCATGTCCCTTTTCTAGATACTATACCAATGTTTTTTGATAAATTTGATTATTTTGTGTTCCATTTAAAAACTTACAGCCGCCATAAAGACGGAAAAATTCTTCTTATTTCATTACACGCAATATACATATACAGAGAGAGTTTGGGTAGCCTAACACCTATTCTTTGGCGTGTGGTATGCATATTTAACTGTTCCTTAGATCTCTGCCGTTTACAATGGTTCGATTTCGTTTATGGCTTTGGCGATAGCCCACATGATCTTGAAAAATAATTCGTTAGTTTTCGTGATCTAAAATAAAGTTCAGTTGAGTCAAAAGATAGTAGAAAGTGGAAGATTCCGTTGCTATCTTTCTGATGTCTGTTTGGGCTGTTTGTAGGTTTCTGACCCCTTTATCACAACTTTGCGTTGTCGGTAGCTAATTTAATTTTCTAATTACTCTTTTTCACTTTCTACTAGCTACGTTTATGAGCGAAGTCACCTTATAGTTTGTATTTATTACTTGTGAACTTATGGCACGCTAATGACACTGAACTTGAGTGACACATACGCAGAGTCAGCCAACCTACCATCTGTCCAACTGTCGTAGTGGAAGCTAAATGCCTCTACTACTTTACGTGTGCTTACTCCTCTAACTTTGAACTTGAATTTCCGTTTATGGATATGTGGGTGCCCAAACATGAAATAGCCACGTATTCCAGAATAACAAGCTTGTTGTTTGTAGCCATATTCATTCAACAAAACATGAAGAACGTTGAAAATAATATTAAACTCGCTACAACGTCATCGTAGCAAAAGTAGCGGTGTTTAAATCACGGAGCTGAAATTTGCATCTGTAAACTCGACTTGCGAAAATAAACAGATTTTTACATGCGAAACATGAGAAACGTTTTCGTGTCTAGGAAGTATGTGGCTTTATAACCAATAAGCATGGATCGGCGCCGTAAGATTCGATCATAATGCCAAACAATAACGCATCTTTCCGGAGCCCGTACATGTTTAAAGTTCTGCACGCTGAAAGCAAATTCGAAAAAGCACATCTGTTTACTTAGAATACAGATATTGTAGAGTTGTGAGTTTTATCTAAATTGCTTAAAAAGCTTTATGGGGTTGCTATGGTTCCTTTTTGAATTTTTTCATTTTATCGCTGTCAGTCGTACCTTTTTTCATTTTTGTACAAATTTTCGACACTCGCCAGTTTTCTAGTAGCTGGAAAGCAAAGAACATTAAATCGGTCTAGCCCAATTTTATTATGCTAACGTATTTGACGAATGAATTTCGGCTTACGTCGCCAAGGGAATTATTTTAAGGAGCCAACTTTTTATGATGACTTTTGACTGCCGCTCCAGTCCTTTGTACTATTAACTATCTCCGAACAAACTTGCTAATACTTACAGTGCGTGACCGATCTCATAAAATGTTAGTCGAAATTCTGAAATGCGTTTAGACTAGGAAGGATTAATAAGGTGGCGTATAATGTCTATATATACAGCATGGCACGTGTCCGTTTACCAAATAGTCCGTAGCCATTGCCAAATTTTATGAACTCTATACAGGATCTTCTGAGAGGCATAGAAGAATATATGATTTTACTTACGCGTAACGCATGCAACTTGTAGACTGAAATCGATAAACGCTAATGCAACGACTACTGGGGCTCGAAATTATTCGGGAATTAGGGAACTTTTTTGAAACCTAGAATTACAATTTCTTTGGCAACAAAATTGAAAGAACATGTGATTTTCTATGAAACAAGTATACGAAAGCATATTTATGTGCATGTCTCGCATAAAATATATTTGAATTTCTTTGACCATACAAAATAGGTATGAAAAGTACATGCCACTTAAGTAGTCAATTTACCGAGTACGGTTTCTGCAGGAGGACAAAAAGACGTGCATTCAAAAGCCGACATGCTAGCTTGTCCGAAATACTATAGGATTATGCTACATAATAATTAATTTTACAACGCCATTTTATTAATCTTTCCTAGTCGAAAACGCATTTCAGAATTTCGACTAACATTTCATGAGATCGATCACACACTGTAAAAAGTGCGTTCATCGTTCTAATTAACGGGTCGTTCAACTAATTCTGTTTTGGTACTCCAGATAGAGCCCCGGAGGCAGTGACACTGCCACTAGTAGTAGGGGCAGAGGGAGATTATCGGTCATGCCAAGGGACATTGAGATGAAAATTTTTGGCTCTTTAGTCGTCATTTGTCAGGCATACCCTAATCCAGGTTTTCAGTACCTGTACGTTCTTTTCTCGAGCCTTATTAGGCCCAAAGCCCTGTCAATTAAACTGTGGGTTCGTTTTCCGGCCGTTCAAAACCGGAGATGTCATATTTGAAGCACGTGTATTGATCAGGCTACGGAAATGCCCATCTCATTGTGTTTTGAGGCCTGATTTAGATTCCTTCATGCAGTAACACAGCGACTAGTAAGTATAGGCAGAATTTAAGTTCTATAGATTATACTATTGGTTGGCAAGGCGACTGTAGGAGTGTAAGGATGCAATTCACCTTGAACGAAAATGTCCGCTTAGTCAGTTGCCTAAAAGAAAACAGCGCCCTCTCGGTCATGATTAGGAATGAAGTATTCCACGGCAGTTTTGCTTGTCTAGCACTTCTACGGTGAACATTAATGTCCCTAAAACGCCTTTCGCAACATTGATTGCAACGAACTGTCCATTTGTACTAAGACATTGCGCTCAGAGTAATTCTTGGTTTACGCAAACGACCACGGAGGATGGGGCTACTATGTAATTGAGGATGCTCATCAGACCTGACATGACAAAGGAATCAAAAATAACCAGAAATGGTGACCATAGTCTTGACGGAGGTCAGCACATTCAGATGCATCGCCGGTCGTTTTGAGCTACGAAAGTCAGGAGTTAGTATCGGTATCCCGTTTAAAGCTTTTCAGTTTCCTGTTACGGCAACCAATCAGAGTGGGTGTTTTCGAGTTTCCGAAAGTCAGGCAAATCATTTCTTCTGGCATGCATCTTCTGTCAGTATTTATTTAGTCTACCAAAGGTTGCTTCTATATTCTGAAACACTGTCTTAAATGCCTTTCATACCTATGTGGTCTGATGCCACTTTTGGCAAAATCATATTTGTCTGTTTTAGATATACCTTTCCGTCAATACAAACCATTGCTGAAAATATGAAACCAGTTCTCGATCATTTTCGGTGAGCGTTAGTTTACATCCAATGCTCTTTTGCCATTTTCTGATTTTTTTGATGTGTAATCAGCAAAAAAATATTTTGAGCGTTCAGATATAATATTCTTCTCCTAAAAGTCAGATTAATCCGGTAAGACTTGAAGATATGATTGCTGACGGCAACGATTTGCTCATCAAAGCTGTCAGGCTCCTACTCCGATCCATCTATAGATCACGAAATTCTGCGTTTGAGGAAATTTGTGTAAACGAGACGCTCAACTAAGGCCAGCGTTACTGTTGAAAGGACATCCCAGCTACGATATAGCTGCATGCTTAACTGGCGGATTAAGCTGCCTCATGAAAGTCTCCAGAAAGACCGCTAGCACATTTTGCACGTCCTGCCAACGAAAACAGGATAAACGCTGCATAATAGCGTTGCGCTGCTCAAAATACGCACACGTTGCCGAGAGCAAAAATTAACCAGATTCGTTATCTAGGAGGATAAACTGAGTAGGAAGAGCTACCCCAGTGCTTCCATCAACAGATGCTAAGGCCCTCGCAGCAGCAGCAGCATAAATATAGCACTTACAGCCTTACATTAAAGGCGCTCTATTACCGGTGGACTTATTATTCAAACTGATTCATCCGTCACCTGCCGATGCCCTTAATATGCACTCGAGTCAGACGCGCCAATGATCGAGTGGACACTTCGAAGCAGTCGAGTGTTATCTACGGCATTGCTTGCTTTAACTGTCTATGTCATTATGCAGGTCAGGTGTCTCGGACATAAAGGAGTATTTCCACGTTATTGCACATTAGTCGTCGTGATTACTCACTGCCTGATTCAATATCACACTTTTTTCTGTTGCATCGATTGACATAAAGATGGCGGCAGGATAGCGCGCGAAATTATATACACTGCGTGACCTATCTCATGAAATGTTGGCTGAAATTCTGAAATGCGTTTTCGATTAGGAAGGATTACTTGGTCGCGGTTGTGATACTAATTATCTTAAGGCTTACTCTTACATTATTTTGGACTCGGCAGGATGACGGCTTTTAAATTCACTTGTTTTCAATCTGCTGTAGAAAGCGTGCTCGGTAAAAAATGACTACGTAAGTAGCATGCATTTTTCATACTGATTTTCGATGGTCTCGGAAATTCAAATATATTTTATAGAAACCAAAAACAAAAAATATGCTTGCTTTTATTCAATCAATAGGGAATTACGTCTTCTTTATATTTTGTACTTAAGAAAGGAGTATAATTAGGTTTTAAAAAAGTTTTCTAATTGCCGAAAAATTTGGAGCCTGACCATTCGTTGCATTAGCGCTAAGTTATTAGACTCTACAAGGTGCATGCGCTCTGCGTAAAGAAAATCCCATTTTTTTCTATGTCATTAAAGAGATATCATACAGAGTCCGTAAAATTTTGCAATGGATGCGGACCATGTTGTACATTTCATGAGGGGTAGCGGTAAACGGCCAGGCACGATGCTATGTGAATGGGCATTTCGCGGTCTTAAAATGTCTCACAATTAGAAACTTTTTTAAAACCTTATTATACTTTTTCCTTAAGTATAAAAGATAAAGAAGACGTGATTCTCTATTGATTGACTAAAAGAAAGCATACTTTTGTTTGTGGTTTCTATAAAATATATTTGAATTTCCAAGACCATCGAAAATCAATGGGAAAAATGCATGCTACTTAAGTAGTCATCTTTTGCCGAGCACGCTTCCTACAGGCGATTGAAAACGAGTGCATTTAAAAGCAGATATCCTTCCAAGTCCAAAATGTTATAAGAGTATGCCTTAAGATAATCAGTAGCACAACCGCGACCAAGTAATCCTTCCTAGTCCAAAACGCATTTCAAAATTTCAGCCAACATTTCATGAGACGGGTCACGCACTTTAGGTGTGAGAATCCGATTAGGATCGTTCAGCGCATGCATCGGATTTGCGCCTGAGTACCAGAAGTAACTTAGCCAAGCTGCGAGGCTCCATTTCAGCCGCAGGGTTACTAACTGCACTGAAAGAATATTGCATCAGTCGGGTCTATTTGTAGAGGTGGGACGAGAACTGGTCCAAAAATCTAGGTGAATCAAATATTGTTGCCAACGAGCGGTTCTTCAGTCTTGGAAAACGAGAAGCCTAGGATGCGTATATTCTCACACATTTTTACCAAATGTATATGTCTTACTCAAACATTTAAATATAGGATAGACATACCGGTTTCAAAGTCTGAACGAAACCCCTACGAAATCGGATAGGCTTCTAATAATTATTTCGTCAATTGCGCTCTATCTTCTCTGGGATTCTTGATACACGATCAAAAACATTTTCGAGCAAATGAATACCGCGTATTCCTTGGGTGGCAAAAAATCAGTTGGCGTTAATTCGTACTCTGCTCCAAGGACGTCAGTATCTGATGCGGTCTAGTCACCATTTTAAAACGCTCATTTTCGCTTTGGCTTAAAAGACGGTCAAACTGCAACGAGTAATGAATAGTTGAGGACCAACCAGTACATAGGAACACTTGATGAAATTTTCCTTCTTACGTCGGGTTTTCTGTTAAAAATATGCTAGGGTTGGTCTGCAGTAGAAACCCTCCCCATCAAAAATTAATTGGGATTAAGTAGTTCGAAACAGAGTTTTATCAAAATCAGACATTTATCGGTGGACGAAATTAACCTTTTACGTATGGATAGCCCCAGTTCCGAAAAGAGAGGGCTTTATCTGCGGCCCTTTTTAAAGCATTTTGTCTGTTTGCCGCACGACAGCTATCTCGTGTCAGACTTTCAAGGTCCTTCCGATCTGTCCTGAGAACGTCATTTTTAAATTTAGTAAATGCAGCAGACAAGGTCCGATTTCCCCGTATCTGCTTTTTACACTTCTGCGAGAGTTAAATGTTCTCCGGTGGGACCTTTTTTGGTAAACGCAGAGACTAACCTGACCACAGGACTCCGCCATGAGATCGGTGAAAGTTACCAAGTAAATGGTGCGAATATTCTTGACCTCTTAATTTCACTCACTTATCAACACAGAGAGTTTGTGAATGTACATTTTTTCATGTAACTTTACCGACTAGATAAATGTTTGAGAACACACTATTTTGCATTACTTTAGGATCGATCATGTCGTCTTATTTGGCGAAGGTGCCGGCGCAAATATTCTTGCTCGATTCGCTGTAAGTCACTAACTTTATGGGGATTGTACTCAGCTGACTTCTCTACAACAGTGGTTTACTTTTTAATGCGTAGGACGTGAACTTGCTAGTTGAGAAAAAACTGCAGCATATGCGAGGCATTCATCTAGGATGCCATACCTCAATTTCACTCTCTTACGTCTACTTATGCGTCTCTCTAGACAAGTTAGGTTAGTCTTACGATGTGTCCCCCCAAATTGAGCAGTGCTCACTTATCCCGATTTCCTCTGATATTTCCCAAAGTGGTTATCATTATTAATTTATAACAACTGTAGTGACAGTTATTGTGGTCGACTACAATCTCTTGGAACCTTTTTTAACAAAATGCAATGATACTAATGATGCCATTTTGCGCTGAGAATACAGTCTTAGGAAGTGGAATATAGAAATATGAATCGTTCTTCTGTTTAAAAATGTGCCTTGCATATGGCAGATAGGACAGCTTTCTTTGCCTGCCAAAATATGACACTGATAGGAATTAGGAAAAGTTCAATTCTCATTGATCGCTAAACAGTGCTTGCTAACTGATATGCAACGTGCGAAGAAAAACACGAAGTAGGGCTTCTAAATTTTGATTGGCTTTCACGTGTAATAGATTATCAAACTGAGGTGTAGAATTGAGTGACAGAATACATAAATTCAATCCGGTTCCCATACGACAGCATGGTGGCCCCATAATGCAACATTCTATCTCTCACCTGTGAGAAATTAGTTATGGCTACATAAATGCCTAAATAACGTTGATATTCTGAAAATTTTCAACGCTTTTATAAGTTTTGAAACAATTCTCAGAGCGATGCATAGATATGTATTTCCTACCAGCCATTTGATCGCAAATATAATCGTCTCCAGCGTCTTATCAGAAGGCAATTGTGACAGTTATTTGAGATCCGAACGTGACGGCTAGAGTAGCCTGTTCCTCATAATGCACATAAAATTGCCTGCATCTGTTGCAGTATTTAATGAGCGTTATAAAACCTTAGCCAAAGAGTCTTAAAGGACATGGCATTTTTAAAGGAGCTCGCATCGACATAAATCATAATTCCGTATGGTATATTGTGAACTGTCATATAATTATAAGATAATTAAACTTTGTGCATTAGTTAGTTTGGAAGCCTCGAGAATAGAAATTTATGGTTCTTACGCAGTAGGTGGTCTAACTCATGAAATTCCGAAATGCGTTTTCGTTTAGAAAAAATTAATTAAGCAGGGTTGAAAAACAGATCATCATGCTGCATCACTATATAAGAATTTGCTTACCTCAGGATGCCGGCTATCGAAATAACTTCTTTTCAGCTGCATGCGAAAACTACACTCTGTAAAAAATGACTACTTATGTAGCATGCATTTTTCTCATTGGTTCTCGACGCTCTTAAAAAATAAGTTATATTTCATAGAAAACATGCATCAAACTATTCATTCTTCTGCTTATTCGGTAGAAAATTTCGCCTTATTTCAATTTTATACTTGAAGGAAGAGTATAATTCGTTATTCAAAATATTTTCTATTCCAGAATAATTTTGAACTCGATCTGCCGTTACACTTGCATTTAGTGTTTGCAAACTACAGGCCGCGTATTTTCTGCGTACGGAAAACCAAAAATTTCTCAACAGTATTAAGAGAACACCATATGGGGTTCATAAAAATAAGCAGCGGATTTGAACCATATTGCTAACTTTACGAGCCACATTCGTAAATGCAGAGATATGAAATTTCATGAACGGTCATTTTACGGCATTAAAAAACCTCCCAATTAGAAACTTCTAAAAACCGAATTATTTTCTTCCTTAGAGTATAAAATTTAAAGAAGGCGTAATTTCCTATCAATGAACTGCAGGTTTAGAATTAATTTCGAAATCATGCCACGATAGAATACACTAATGTGAGCAGCTGGGATTCTTGTGAGTCATCATTAACCTTCGTGCTTTTTTACGTGGTATCAAGACATCCTTAATTAATTTATTTTCAAAACGAACTGATTTATAGCAACATTCCCTCATTTGTTTCTATTTACCAGTGTAGTTGTATCCATTATAGTAAACGTTTTTCTACTTCACTTGAAGAAGTGCACCATAATTGTTATTAAAAATTTATTTGATCACACTTTCTAATTCTGATCAGCTCAAACGCAACCACCCTGTCGATTAGCCGATACCCTAAATATGGTCACTTAGGTTTCCCACTCGCATTTAGGACATTTATTTTCAATGGTTACAATTACATAGAGGACGTCTACTATTAATTCGTACGGCTATTATCCTAAAACCAGTTAAATTTTTGGTTACTGACTAAGGTCTTTTATTTAGTCCAAGCAGCCACTTTAACCCAAAAACATTTTCAATATTATTTTCACTCGATAGTTAACAAATAAGGGCGAAAAATTATCGGCTAATTCCACACGATTTCATGTCACCTCTCTTGAGATAATCTCCACTTTGTGCCGACAAAATTGTGGGGCACCAACCGTCAAAACTGCTACTATGATTAATTACATGTTTTTTAATGCTTTGGAAAAATGCCTCCCGATAATTTTCGTTAAAAGCAAAATAATCTTAAGATTCAGTAGCACAGTAGACTTTGTCTTTCCGCAAGAAATTAACTGAAGTCAGACGTAACTGGCAATGTGAAAACGCCATCAGTTTGTGTTATTTTGTCTACTGCAGACATAAATAGGAAAAATATGGTCTCATTCTTAAATAGATAGTCACTTTTCTTATCAGTTATGTAGTATTCTGTGGTATTTTTTTATCCTGCACTGACATAATCAACTGAAAAAGACTAACATTTATGCTTACTTTGTAGATGCTCCACGATGAAATGGTTCTTGGAGCTATTCTTATTCACTGCACAGGTCAGACGGCGAGCTTTGCTGACTCCCTGCGTGATAAGGTATCTTGCATAACTTTTAACAACACAACAGCCCTTCTGTAGTCTTACCAACACTTATTTGCCCTTAACCTGCCTGTACAATGCAAATCTTCCAAGTTTCTCTGCAATACAAACAACTCTTTTAATACACGATATTTTCAAGAGCCCAGAGCAAGGATATAATTGGTCATTGGACTGACCGTGAAAAGCAAAATGGAATTTGCTCTAGTAGATTTGGTTTGGAAGTATGGCGACGTTCGCATGCCAACAGCATACATATATTTATTCTTTGTGCATCCCATCGTTCGAACATATGAAGCAAAATGTGCACAGACTTTCAATTGTTCATGTGCTTAAATATTCAACACTAAACTACCTTCTTCTACTAAAAGATGGAGTAGCTAACGCATCTTTATATAAGCTTTTGAGAGGCCTAGAAACCATCTGTTTCGTGCGTTTGTAAAGTCGCCATGATTTTAAACTCAGAAATAAGTAGTGATGGAGCGAAACGCACCTTCTCGCCATATCTGCGTCTAATTTCGAAAGAGAGCCGGACCGGTCCTCGATACGTATGCTCATTTTGGGATAGTTTTAGTGAAATAATTATATAGCAAAAAGACGGCGGCAATAATTTACCCGATGAAATAACATAAGTGGTTAGGTTCCAATCTGATAGGAGTATTGCCACAGTAAAATGACAATTAGAATGCATGATTTGTCTCATTGCTTTATTTGATAGGGTTTCATTTATGAATTACTACCATTCCTGTGGACCAAATTTAAGTTTAATCCCAAATAATTGCCCAGTTTGTGCTTATACTTTAAAAGTGCATATTTGGTTGCAATACTCACTAGATACATGACAGGAAACCTCTAGTAAACTTATGCCTGTTTCTGAAGAGTAAATCGGATCCTAGTATTTGCTTACGTACACCTCAGTCTTATCAACCTTTTTCGCAGTATAATTACTTATTTTCACTTGGAGAAGTATACTTTTTTCAGCTTGTAAATTGGAAATTGAACACCACGGGCATGAATCCTTCAACAGAAAGTTTTCTCATTCTT